ACTTTAGCCAGCTCCATTTTTTCCGCTCTGCGCATAATTCTTTAACGGTCTTTGGTGGGAAGCCGGTTTCTGTACTGAGATAGAGGTGTAGGCGTCCCTCTCTGCTTGGCAAGGGGGTCCACCGGATCTGACCGGAAACTTTTAAAGTTTCTATCTCTATTTACAGAGGAATTTGTGTTCCTTTTCTTTCATCGGCCAGGTTTGGGCAACAAATCTGTGCGAGAAGTCGGGCTCAGTATGGCTTATGCTGTCAGTGGCCCTGATAAACCCAACAAAGAAAGTGCAAATATAAGAGGATGAGTACGTTTATTCAGACATACACAAATACAGTTACATAGATTATCATACATAGCAGCATATGTATAAAGTACCTGGGATAACCCAATAAAGTCACTGACTTATTTTCATTATTGAAGGAACACTGCAGCAGCACCAGGCCCATGCTAGGCAGGTTCATGTGCCTAACTTATATTTAAAGCTACCCAAAGTTTTCGCCTCAGTAACGCTACTTTGGAGTCTGTTCCACTCTAAAACTATTGCCAAACAAGTATTTCTTTATTATTATAACAGCTGTATGGCCCCTTTGGGTTTAGCGCTTAGTTTTAATAATATTAATATTATTATTATTATTATTATTATCAAAACTTTATAACTTTCTTTAAATTTTAATTTCTCCGAGTTAAATCTATTACTGCGAATCCTGTCTCAGATATTGTGAGAAAATATGCCAAGCCCATGATGACACTCTTCAGGTCACTTGTTCTATCTAGGCTGGAATATTGCTGCACACTAACAGCACCTTTCAAGGCAGGTGAAATTGCTGACCTAGAAAATGTACAGAGAACTTTCACGGCGCGCATAACGGAGATAAAACACCTCAATTATTGGGAGCGCTTGAGGTTCCTGAACCTGTATTCCCTGGAACGCAGGAGGGAGAGATACATGATTATATACACCTGGAAAATCCTAGAGGGACTACTACCGAACTTGCACACGAAAATCACTCACTACGAAAGCAAAAGACTTGGCAGACGATGCACCATCCCCCCAATGAAAAGCAGGGGTGTCACTAGCACGTTAAGAGACCATACAATAAGTGTCAGGGGCCCGAGACTGTTCAACTGCCTCCCAGCACACACAAGGGGGATTACCAACAGACCCCTGGCAGTCTTCAAGCTGGCACTGGACAAGCACCTAAAGTCAGTTCCTGATCAGCCGGGCTGTGGCTCGTACGTTGGTTTGCGTGCAGCCAGCAGTAACAGCCTGGTTGATCAGGCTCTGATCCACCAGGAGGCCTGGTCACAGACCGGGCCGCGGGGGCGTTGACCCCCGGATCTCTCTCCAGGTAAACTCCAGGTAAATTTTACAGGTAATGTCCTTAATTAACATTTCAGCCCCATAATTGTGAAGAAACTCTGGTACATTAGTTACTAAGATTGATGTAAGTCAGAGTCAAGTGGGACTTAAGGTCACCTGGTCACAGTGAAGTCCCACCTTCGTCACCACCTTAGGTCATCACGTCTCACACGTCTGGACCGTAAATTATTATTACAATATATAGTTGAAATTATTTGATAAATTATTCCAGTAACACTGACAAATTATGTACTCGCCTAGTTGTGGTTGCAGGGGTCGAGTCACAGCTTCTGACAAATTATGTGTGGACTGTATATTGACAAGAGTAATTTGCTTGGGTAATTTTATATAAATATAAATCAGTTACATGATGAGAAAAGTATAAAGGACATTTCAATATTACTCACCAAATTAAGATTTTGGTGTTATATCCTAATGCCTCCCTATCGGTAGGCAGTTCATTGAACATTAAAATGGTATAAAATACCGACAGGTTGTTAGGTACGACACATATGCAACAGTTAGGTATCTTTATTATGAAACAATATTGTTTCATACTATGGAACAATGCTCTTCTCCAGACTGAGGGACTGACCACCTCAAAACTTTAAGGGTGATGGACTGATTACATCGTCTTCAAGTATCTTCTGCTTCTATCAACTTTTCTGTATTTGACTGAAGAAGCCTACTGTGTAGGCGAAACGTTTCATAATAAAGATACCTAACTGTTGCATATGTGTCTTACCTAACAATCGGTAGGCAGTTCATATTGGTCAATATAAATTAACACACCTGTAGTGAAAATTAATACACTGGGAGGCGTACATTACATGTGGTGTGAGCTTCATCAATTTCTGACGATAACCACTTCTATTACTCCTTAGTTAATTTCACTTGAAGATTCAGCCGATTTCCAAATTCCTTGAGAAAGCCGACATTACCTCCCAGGACAGCCACACGAGCGGTAATCGCTCGGATTCAGTTTTCCTTTTGTAACCTTTCGCCTTGGATCAAAAAAAAAAAAAGTGCTGAGACGATCAGCAGTCAGCCTAAGCAACTATAGGCCTGTTAGTATACTCAGTATAATATCCAAAATTCTAGAGAGAGCGGTGTACTGTCAAGTAGTTAAGTACCTTAATGACAACAACATTCACCATAGCTATCAATCAGGCTTTAGATCTTACTCAGCCGACACCTCCCTAATTAATCTGATGGATTACATGAGAACTGAAATGTCAAAGGGGAACCTCATAGGTATGGTAACCTTAGACTTGCAAAAGGCCTTCGATACTGTCAACCACAATATATTATGTAAGAAACTTCAAGCTATCGGTATAGGTTCTGTAGACTGGTTTAAGTCCTACCTTAGCAACAGGAGACAAATTGTCAAAATCAACAAAACGGAATCAGAACCCCTGCCGATAGCATGTGGAGTTCCCCAAGGTAGTATTCTGGGTCTCTTATTATTCCTATGCAATGTTAACGATATGCCTATCAGTGTCAAGTGCAAACTTCTACTGTATGCAGATGACAGTGCCCTGTTAGTGTCAGGTAAAGACCCACAAGATATAGCTAATGTATTAACACTGGAACTGGAGTCCTGCAGCAAGTGGTTAGTAGACAAACTATCATTACACCTCGGGAAAACTGGAGCCATTCTCTTTGGCATGAAACCCCTCAAGGAAGGTTCCTTGATGTTGGTGAGGGGCTCTTGATTTAGAGAATTGGATCTGTGCTCCAGTTCCCCGAATTAAGCCTGAATGCCTTCCACATCCCCCCCCCCCAGGCGCTGTATAATCCTCCGGGTTTAGCGCTTCCCCCTTGATTATAATAATAATAATAATTTGGCATGAAACATAAACTGAGAAGGTTTAATAATTTTAATGTCCAGTGTAATGGGGAGCCCATCGCTTCAGTTTCCTTAGTAAAATATCTGGGAATCCCCTTTGACCCATGCATGTCAGGAGAATTGATAGGGAACAGTGTAGTAAAGAAAGCGAATGCCAGACTGAAATTCCTTTATAGACAACAAACACAGTGTCTATCTACTGAGGCTCGTAGGATCCTATGTCTAGCCCTTATATAGTGTCATATTGACTACGCTTACTTTTCATGGTACTCTGCCTTGACAAAAAAAAACTGAAAGATAGACTGCAGATCACCCAGAACAAAATCGTAAGATTCATTCTGGACCTGGGACCAAGAGAACATGTAGGCCAGGATGAATTACAGCAGTTGGATATGCTGAATGTTGAAGACAGAGTAAAACAACTGAAGCTAAATCATGTTTATAAAATTGCTCACAAACAGTGTCCAGAATATCTTGCTGTCAATTTTGTCAAGGTTGGGAACCAAAGCAATCATAGTACTAGGGGGAGAGAACACAACTTTGTAGTACCCACAGTCAGTGGCCAGGCTTCAAACACCTTTTATTGTACAGCAATAAAGGAATGGAACAGACTGTCCGCACATGTCAAAGCCAGTCATAGCATGAACCAGTTCAAGAAGAGTGCCGAAAGTGTCTGATGAATGTAGCTACAGAAAGGGAGGGGAATGATTTTCTATTTTTTTTTAGCTAACACACGTGTGATTTTACCTTAATCCTAGTAATGACCCTCATATTGTAGATAATCTTAATGACCCTTGTATAGTAGATAGTCTTAATATTATGATAATAAGATTTTATCTCCATTATAGAATAATAAGATATTATCACCTTTATATTATAATAATAAGGTAAAAGGACCCCAATGGAAATAAGTCACTCTGTCTGACTTTTTTGTGTTATCCCAGGTACTTTACACATATGCTACTATGTATGATAATCTATGTGTAACTGTATTTGTGTATACCTGAATAAACTTACACGTCTCACCAACACTGCCCTCTGGCTCTGCCAGCTACACAACTCCCCTACTCTGTTAAGTTGGAATCACTCACTCGCTTCCTCACAAGTAGTTTGGTAGTTTCTGACTACCGTTAATACTTCGTATTTACATTACATTAATCTGTATAATCCTCCGGGTTTAGCGCTTCCCCTTGATTATAATAATAATAATAATAATACATTACATTATATTAACACTTCACATACATATTACTAATTATAGGAAAATTATAGCAACTTTATCACAGATATTTTCCTGTCTTAGGTATTTTCCTGTGGTAGATATTTTCCTGTGTTAGATATTTTCTTGTGTTAGATATTTTCCTGTCTTAAATATATTCCTGTTTTATATATCTGGGGTCCACCTGACATGTAGTGAGGTTTGGTAAGTGCAGTCATCGGGAGGAGAAACCTCTTGAGTACACTCCATGTATCCTAAAGAAGAAGAGAGAAAGAAGGTTTGGTCCAAAACAGGAGGGTTGAGGCTCTGATTCCTTAAGAAGATGCATGAAAGCACTTTCCTTAAAGGGAATATTAATTTTATTCATATAGAAGTGTGCCACTTGTAGTGGACATACAGTGCCTGTGTAGTGGGTGGCAATTATGTTCGATCTGAGAAAGTGAATGGTAGCACCAACTTTAAAGAGTGAGAGCCATTTAGTTTTTCAAGGCCATCCCCCTCATTTCTCACCTACTTTGAAGAGAAGGGGTTAAGGTATAACTTGGTAAAGTTATTAAGAGTGTGTTTCTTCCTCAGGTGCGGGGGCCAGGCTGAGTGTAAGTTCAGTTTGGAGAACCACGTACCATCAGCACTCCAAGTCCAGGACCAGTGGGAGGGAGGTGTACTCTGGGCCGTCTACCATTGTGTTCACAGTCAGTGTCTCCTCCAGTTTCTTCACAGTACAGTAAACTCTCAAAACATTGGACTAATGGTGTGGGGGGCTGGTAATGGCAGTTGTGGCAGATACAAAAGAGGTTATTTAACTGTAATAGTAACAACTAACAGTTTTGTAACCAACAAACTTCATGCAGTTTCAGAATCGACTGATCCTATAGATTTTAATACACTTACTCTCAAAATCCGTTATTTTGAGGCTTTACTGCATTATTGTATTCAAGGGGAATTGCAAAATCTGTAGGTACAGAGCCAAAGAAATTTAAAGTAATATTGATTCAGTACAAGTGGAGGATAGCTCCAGTTCCTTGGATCAAGAGCAATTTACCAGCATCAAGGTACCCCTCCACCCTTGCAGTGCAATCTTTTTACATGGTGCAATTTTCTCCAAATTGCGGTTAGTTAATTTGTGCCCCATGTGACGTTCTTCTAAAGTTTAAAAGTCTGTTTTTCTCGGTTATGTTAGCTTCTTGATCCAAGGAATTGGAGCTGTCCTTTACTTCCTTTATCAAACTTGATTACTTCCCATTCCCCAGATTTAACACTTCCCATTAATGTAAGTACAGTAATAATAATTACTGTACCTCCCATTCTGCTAGGCATGCTATAGCCCCTGTGGGTTTAGCACTTCTCCCATTAATCTAGTAATAATAATTCTGCCTTTCAAGCAGTTCATCTTGATCAGTGAACATACATGGACGTCGGTGATAGCTAGATGAGTACATATAGGAACCATGTCTGCCTCACTCAGCAGCCAGAGCATCAAGCCTCCACCACGTTTTGCGCTGAATGATTCACATGGGTTTAGCGCTTAACCTACCTGGAGTTTACCTGGAGAGGGTTTCGGGGGTCAACGCTCCCAGGGCTCGGTCTGAGACCAGGCCTCATGGTGGAACAGGGTCTCATCAATCAGGCTGTTACTGCCAGCCGCACGCAAACTGACGTATGAACCACAGCCCAGTTGGTCAGGTACTGACTTTAGGTGCCTGTCCAGTGCCTTCTTGAAGACAGCCAGGGGTCTATTGGTAATCCCCCTTATGTATGCTGGGAGGCAGTTGAACAGTCTTGGGCCCTGGACACTTATTGTGTTATCTCTCAGTGTACTCGTGGAGCCCCTGCTTTTCATCGGGGAATGTTGCATCGTCTGCCGAGTCTTTTGCTTTCATAGGGAGTGATTTTTGTGTGCAGGTTTGGAACCAATCCCTCCAGGACCTTCCAAGTGTATATTATGTATCTCTCTCGCCTGCATTCCAGGGAATACAGATCAAGGACCTTCAACCGTTCCCAGTAATCTAAGTGCCTTATCGTACTTATGTGTGCTGTGAAAGTTCTTTGTACGTTCTCCAGGTCTGCAATGTCACCAGCCTTGAAGGGGGCCGTTAGTGTACAGCAGTATTCCAGCCTAGAGAGAACAAACGATTTGAAGAGTGTCATCATGGGTTGGGCGTCCCTAATTTCAAAGGTTCTTATTATCCATCCTATCATTTTCCTAGCCGATGAGGTAGATACATTGTTGTGGTCTTAGAAGGCGAGATCCTCTGACATTATCACTCCCAGGTCCTTCACATTTCTTTTTCACCCTATTGTATGGTTAGAATTTGTCGTATACCCTGATACATTTTTAATTTCTTCAAGTTTTCCATATCTGAGTAGTTGAAATTTCACCTCGTTGAACTTCATATTGTTTTGAGTGGCCCATTTGAAGATTTGGTTGATGTTCGCTGGAAGTCTTGCAGTATCTTCAATGGAGGTCACTGCCATCGCAATCCGGGTGTCATCCACAAAGGAAGACATGGAGCTATGTCTTACATCTCTGTCTGTGTCAGAAATGAGGATGAGGAATAGAATGGGAGCAAGCACTGTGCCTTGTGGAACAGAGGTTTTCACCATGGCTGCCTGGGACTTGACTCTGTTTACTAATACTCTTTGTGTTCTATTTGTCAGGAAGTTATGGATCCATCTACCAACTTTTCCTGTTATTCCTTTATCACGCATTTTGTGTGCTATTACACCATGGTCACACTTGTCAAAAGCTTTTGCAAAGTCTGTGTATACTACATCTGTATTTTGTTTATCCTCAACAGTATCCAGGACCTTGTCATAGTGGTCCAGGAGCTGGGACAGGCAGGAGCGACCTGCTCTAACCGCGTGTTGCCCTGGGTTGTGTAATTGATGGGTATCTAGGTGGTTGGCGATCTTGCTTCTTAGAACCCTCTCAAAGATTTTTTATATAGGATGTTAGTGCTATTGGCCTGTAGTTCTTTGTAATTGTTTTACTGCCACCTTTGTGGAGTGAGGCTATGTCTGTTGTTTTTAATGTGTGTGGGATGACCCCCATGTCCATGCTCCCTCTCCATAGAATGCTGAAGGCATGCAATAGGGGCTTCTTGCAATTCTTGATGAACACAGAGTTCCATGAGTCTGGGCCTGGGGCAGAGTGCAGGGGCATGTCATTTATTGCCTTTTCAAAGTCTTGTGGAGTTAGGATACTATCCGACAATTTTGAGATGACCAAATTTTGGGTTTCATTCATAAAGAATTAATTTGGATTGTTGACCCTTAGTCTGGGCAGCGGCTCACTGAACACCAAGTCGTATTGGGACTTTAATATCTCACTCATTTCTTGGCTGTCATCTGTGTATATCCCATCCTGCCTAAGCAGGGGCCCAATACTGGATATTGTTTTTCCCTTAGAGTTGGCGTAAGAGAAGTATTTTTTTTTGTTTGTTTCCTTTATGGCTTTTAGTTCTTCCTGAGATTCTTGTCTCCTGTAAGATTCCTTCAGCTTAGGTTCGATATTTGCAATTTCATTGACCAGTGCCTCCCTTCGTATTTTAGATATATTGGCCCCTCTCAGCAGCTCTGTGACTCTTCACCTTCATCTGTGTAGGGAGCGTCTCTCTCTTTCTAGTTTACATCTTCTCTTTCTTTTTCTTAATGGAATGTGTCTTGAGCAGATCTCAAGAACCACAGAGTTCAATTTTTCTAGGCAAATGTTCGGATCCGTGTTGTTTAGGATATCTTCCCAGCTTGTTTCATTTAGGACATGGGTGACTTGATCCCATTGTATGTTTTTGTTATTGAAATTGAATTTTGTAAAGAGACCTTCATGACTGATCACATTTTGCTGGTCAGGAGCCCTATGCATACATATCTGTACCTCTGTTATGTTGTGATCTGAATGTATTGTCTTTGATACATTTATATTATGTATCAATTCGTCATTGTTAGTGAAGATGAGGTCCAGTGTACTGTATTTTCTAGTGGTCACTTCTATGGGGGCTCCATATTATATTCATGGGGGAAATGGTAAACCTGTAGGGGTCATACAGTGTTTGGGAAATGGCAGGTAACTAGGTTTTGTCCAAGGAAGGGGATGGGTACTTCCAGTTCATTGGATCAAGAGTCTTCCACCAGCATCATGACACTGCTTTTGATGGAAAGAACTTAGTAGCTTAAACCTTCTATGTCTGACTGATTTAAAGAGAATGCTGTGACCAGTTGTGTAGTCTAAAGTCTTCAGTTTGGTAGTTTCACATGTTGGTGGTTCCAAGGGGATTGAAGTCCTCTCATAATCTCTATGAGCCTCTCCAAATAATAATAATAAAAATTATTATTATAATAATTATAATGTAATAAAATACTGTGATTATAATAATCTTTGTTCTAGAGTCCGAGTTTTACCGAGTGTGTGGGAGTGAGGTGTATGCTCAGTCTGGCTGGGTGCAGAGCATTGGATACCCACAGTATTACCTTGGTGAACCAGCAGTGTGCACCATCACTCTTCGTGTGGATGACAAGCAGCGCATTCAGCTAACTATCACTGATCTTAACATCAGGGGTAATTATGGCTTTTGTTCTGTATCCAAATACTGTACATGTACTATACAGAAAAGTATTTCCACGTTCCATTTACATCAAGCCTTTGTGAATGTTTCTATTTTGGAGATATTTTCCTTTGAGATTTATTTAACCTAACTAAACTTAAATAAGAGAAAATTTCGAAAATACTAATACAGCCTCTCCTCACTTTATGACCGAGTTCTGTTCCTAAGACCACGTCAGTAAACAAATTTGTCACTAAGCAAGGAGCATACTATAATGGTAGTGGGTTTGTGTCAACCATCTTTGATATTGTTTTAGTCACCTTTGCAACATTTGTAACATTTTTAGTATATTTTTAAATGTTTATACAGTAGTGTACTGTATATTGTAATAAACAGAATATAGGAAATCAGCTCTAATATACATTATTTAAGTGTGCATACTGATCAGAGCCCGTCGTAAGTCCAAGGTGTCGGTAAAAGAGTACATCACTAAATGAGGAGAGGTGTACTGTAGGATGTTCAGAAACTGATACACAAACTGGTAGATCAAATCAAATCAAATCAAAGTTTATTCTCTATAAGGATTACAATGCGGGGTTTACAGATTTTGGTTATTGTGTGGTTTACATGTAATAAAATACTAATTACAGAGAGGGCCACTAGAACACCTAGCAAGGCTAGGCATTTTAGGCAAACTTAGATTAATTCTTAACCCTAAATTATTACAAATTGTGGAGTAAGTTGACTAAATACTAAGTGACTAAATACTAGTTTGTGAGTTTAGCAATGTGAATGCTTTTGTTTTGGCACAATACATAGTTTCTATATTGGAGTATCACAGGCAAACTTGTGACTAGTTAGGAATCATTATTTTAAGATTAAGATACATATTTCTGTGCTTATAGTCAAATGGATGAGTGAGTGAGTGTAAGTGTGAACCGCCAGGTGGTTTTTATGTAGTTAGTCGACGGGGTGTATCAGGGAGATAAGATGTTTTCTAACGGTAGTTTTGAAGGTGATGAATGTGTCTGCAGTTCTAGAGTTCTCAGGTAGGGTGTTCCAGATTTTAGGGCCTTTGACATACATTGAATTTTTGTATAGATTTAGTCGGACACGGGAAATGTTGTAGAGATGTTTGTGTCTGGTGTTATGCTTGTGGGTCCTGTCACAACTATCAAGAAAGCACTTTAGGTCAAGGTTAATATTGGAATTTAAGGTCCTGTATATGTAGATTGGATGTTCTGAACAGGGAGTAAGTTTAGATCTATGAAGAGTGGGGAGGTAATGTATTACAAAAGGATATAGTAAGTGTTTCATCCATTGGAAATTTAAAAAATTTGATAAACTATTGAAGATGGTGACACTGTGAGTATAACACTGCTCTGGTAGCCACAAATAGGTAATTACAGTGTGATGCATGTGAAAAATGAAGTTAGTGACGTTGGCTTGTCCCATAAGATAAGATAAGATTTTGTTCGGATTTTTAACCCTGGAGGGTTAGCCACCCAGGATAACCCAAGAAAGTGAGTGCGTCATTGAGGACTGTCTAACTTACTTCCATTGGGGTCCTTAATCTTGTCCCCCAGGATGCGACCCACACCAGTCGACTAACACCCAGGTACCTATTTGCTGCTAGGTGAACAGGACAACAGGTGTAAGGAAACGTGTCGAAATGTTTCCACCCGCCGGGAATTGAACCCGGGCCCTCCGTGTGTGAAGCGGGAGGTTTAGCCACCAGGCCACAGTATATTAAACTACATTATTAGTGCTTAGTTATAATTCAGATATATTAATGTTCTTTAAGAATTATTATGATATTCATGGGGAACACTAGCCTAATAAAAGTTATAGAACCCATCTCCTTGAATTAAAAGTCCTTTAATAGTATAAAGGCCCTTTTCCCTCCCTTGAAGGGTGTTTTGTACAAGGATTGTATGCCTTTATGAACACTGCTCATTCTCCTGAAAACTTTCTTTCTTTCAACACACCAGCCATATCCCACCGAGGCGGGGTGGCCCAAAAGGAAAAACGAAAGTTTCTCCTTTTACATTTAGTAATATATACAGGAGAAGGGGTTACTAGCCCCTTGCTCCTGGCATTTTAGTTGCCACTTACAACACGCATGGCTGACGGAGGAAGAATTCTGTTCCACTTCCCCATGGAGGTAAGAGGAAATAAACAAGAACAAGAACTAGTAAGCAAATAGGAGAAAACCCAGAGGTGTATATATATACTTGTACATGTAAGTGTAGTGTGACCTAAGTGTAAGTAGAAGTAGCAAGACGTACCTGAAATCTTGCATGTTTATGAGACAGAAAAATGGACACCAGCAATCCTACCATCATGTAAAACAAGTACAGGCTTTCGTTTTACACTCACTTGGCAGGACGGTAGTACCTCCCTGGGCGGTTGCTGTCTACCAACCTACTACCTAGATCTCCTGGAAACCTCTTATTATTATTCTTGTATTCATGTTGAAGATCTAAGCCTGTATGGGTCTTACAGTACCTAGGGAATGAAAGATAATTAGATTTGCATCAAGGCACTCCTTGAAAGAATGGAATCCTATTAATTCACTACAGTAGTGTGTTCTTTTAGCAAGGAAACTAATGTTACACTTTCCTTTCCCAGAGATTGTCTCTCCGAATGAAGTCAGTTGCCGAGACAGTTTATCAGTGACGGAGGGAAGCAAGCAGCTGCTGCATCGCTGTGAAGAAACTAAAGTGCCTCTCAGTATAACCTCAGAGGGACCGGAGCTTAACATTACTCTCACTGCAACGACAAATTTATTTCCTAAACGGGGATACATTGCTCATTTTCAAGGCAAGATACTTGTATATTGTGCAGTCATATGAGATTTAATTATAACAAAATTAGGTGAAATTTATTTAATACATTTTGAGAAGATTCATGTTTTGCAGAGCCTTTTAAGCAGTGCATGTCTCTTCATTACCAGAGGATTGAACCTTCCTGCACCTTAGGCTTTATTATTTTTCTTTCTTTCAACAAACCGGCTGTCTCCCACTGAGGTAGGGTGACCTAAAAAGAAAATCGAAAGTTTTTCTTTTTAAATTTAGTATTTATACCAAAGGGGTTACTAGCCTCTTACTTCCGGCATTTTTAGTCACCTCTTATGACATGCATGGCTTACAGAGGAAGAATTCTTTTTTTACTTCCCCATGGAGATTATTATTATATTTAGGGTAAGTGTTCAACCCATAGATATCATACAGTTCCCTGGGTAATGGGAGGCAATCAGGTTTGATCCAAGGAAAGGACAAGTTCAGTTCCTTGGGTCAAGAACCCCTCACTTGCATCATAGAACCTTCCTTCAGGAGTCCTCGTGCTTAGTGATCTACACTCGTTTAGTTCTTCCCATAATAGTAATAATAGTTCTGTAATACTGTTAAGTGCTCTCAGCCCCAAGAAGATCCAGTTCCACTGCTTGCTTTTCGAGTTGAATTTTTGAAGTAGAGTACAGTAGTCCCTCCATATCAACAGGTGATATGTTCCAAGACCTACCGTGAATACCTGAAACCGTGGATAATAGTGAACCCTATATGTAAGTTGTTTTTTGTTTACACACATGCTTATGATAAAGTTTAATTGATAAATTACACACAGTAAGTCGAGAATTGGCCCATTTTTAATGATGCGAGGCGCTCCATGGCTTCTTTGAGGCTTTAAAGAACTGCCAGCATCATTGCAAAATTAAGTGGGATATGGGGTTCTACTATATGGTACTCCATATCCACTTTTTTTATCCCATGTATTGCAGCAAATCACCGAGACATTCCCAAACCTGCATCATAACCCCACGTGACAGTTTTTTATTATCTGCCTTTTACAGTTTTTTTTAGATATGTTAGTATGCCGTACCTAGTCCTTGAAGAAATAACACCACATTATTGTGTATTGCCAGACTAGACCCTCTTCTCCAGCTTCTCTTACTCCACATCTTTTACTACAGTAGCACAGTACAGTGGACCCCCGCATAACGATGGCATCGCATAGCGATTTTTCCGCATAACGATTACTTTTATCGCAAAATTTTTGCCGCGCATACCGATTAAAAACCCGCTTACCGATTTTCGTCCGAGACGCGTCCAATGTGCCCTCACATGTGCCGGCCGTCCCATTGTTTACCAGCCAGCCTCCGCGGTAACATCCAAGCATACACTCGGAATATTTCGTATTATTACAGTGTTTTCGGTGCTGTTTCTGGAAAATAAGTGACCATGGGCCCCAAGAAAGCTTCTAGTGCCAACCCTGTGGTAAAAAGGTGAGAATTAGTATGGAAATTAAGAAAGATTTTGAAGGGTTTGGGGCTAACCCTGAGAAGCCTATGCCAGTTGTGGAATCCATTGTGCCTACTTCAAAGATTAAGGAAATGTGTGCAGAGTGGGTTGAACTGCAAACCTTTATAGATGAAAATCACCCTGACACAGCTGTTGCAAGCCGTGCTGGTGACTATTTCAATGACAATGTTATGCCCTTTTTTAGGAAAGTCTTGAAGGAACGGGAGGTACAGAGCTCTATGGACAGATTTGTTGTGCGACAGAGATCCAGTGACTCTCAAGCTGGTCCTAGTGGCATTAAAAGAAGAAGGGAAGTAACCCCAGAAAAGAACTTGCTACCTCAAGTCCTAATGGAAGGGGATTCCCCTTCTAAACAGTAAGAAGATAATGCTCTCCCCTCCTCCCATCCCATCAATCATCACCAGATCTTCAATAAAAGTAAGTGTCATGTAATTGTGCATGCCTTTTTCAGTTTGTGTGTATTAAAATTAACATTTCATGTGGTAAAAAAAAAAATTTTTCATACTTTTGGGCGTCTTGCACGGATTAATTTTATTTCCATTATTTCTTATGGGGAAAATTCATTCGCATAACGATTATTTCGCATAACGATGAGCCCTCTTGCACGGATTAAAATCGTTAACCGGGGGTCCACTGTACTAACATATGAAAGCTCTCATCCTGCCTTCATCATAAATTAGAAGTAAACCTTAAGCTTAATTTAAAAACACTGACTGACCAAAGAAAAATGCTCAGATTCTATGGATCAGTGACCCATTTTAAAAAATAAATTTGAGTAAATTATTGGGTAAAACTTTTTATGACAGATGAAGTACCTTGTTGCAGCTCTGGGATGCAAGACGCCCTCCACTCCTCAAGATGGTTACCTGATATTCCGAAATGCCACCCATGCTGAGTACTGTTGCTGTGTACATCATGTGTTCCCTGATACACTTGCTCGACAACGCTTTCTCCAGTGCAACAAGTTACACGTATGGAATGACACACTTCCTGACTGCATTGGTATGTGCTCTGCATTTAATATTATTTGCTATGCAGTTCTTCAGAATATATTTCATGATGTGCTATGATTGTGATTGTCATTTTTCACAAGAAAGTGCTAAACCCACATAGGTCATACACTGCCAGATTATTATATATTCAGAATTGTTGTAACCCATGTAGATCATTCACTGCTGTTTAATATTTCTCCAAGAATTTTTTAGAAATTGACCTGTGAGAGTTACATACAACTTTTTTTTTTTTTTTTTTTTTTTTCAACAAGTCGGCCGTCTCCCACCGAGGCAGGGTGACCCAAAAAAAGAAAGAAAATCCCCAAAAAGAAAATACTTTCACCATCATTCAACACTTTCACCACACTTGCACACTATCACTGTTTTTGCAGAGGTGCTCAGAATACAACAGTCTAGAAGCATAAACATATAAAGATACACAACATATCCCTCCAAACTGCCAATATCCCAAACCCCTCCTTTAAAAGTGCAGGCATTGTACTTCCCATTTCCAGGACTCAAGTCCGACTATATGAAAATAACCGGTTTCCCTGAATCCCTTCACTAAATATTACCCTGCTCACACTCCAACAGATCGTCAGGTCCCAAGTACCATTCGTCTCCATTCACTCCTATCTAACACGCTCACGCACGCTTGCTGGAAGTCCAAGCCCCTTACCCACAAAACCTCCTTTACCCCCTCTCTCCAACCCTTTCGAGGACGACCCCTACCCCGCCTTCCTTCCCCTATAGATTTATATGCTTTCCATGTCATTCTACTGTGATCCATTCTCTCTAAATGACCAAACCACCTCAACAACCCCTCTTCTGCCCTCTGACTAATACTTTTATTAACTCCACACCTTCTCCTAATTTCCACACTCCGAATTTTCTGCATAATATTTACACCACACATTGCCCTTAAACAGGACATCTCCGCTGCCTCCAACCGTCTCCTCGCTGCTGCATTTACCACCCAAGCTTCACACCCATATAAGAGTGTTGGTACTACTATACTTTCATACATTCCCTTCTTTGCCTCCATAGATAACGTTTTTTGACTCCACATATACCTCAACGCACCACTCACCTTTTTTCCCTCATCAATTCTATGATTAACCTCATCCTTCATAAATCCATCCGCCGACACGTCAACTCCCAAGTATCTGAAAACATTCACTTCTTCCATACTCCTCCTCCCCAATTTGATATCCAATTTTTCTTTATCTAAATCATTTGACACCCTCATCACCTTACTCTTTTCTATGTTCACTTTCAACTTTCTACCTTTACACACATTCCCAAACTCATCCACTAACCTTTGCAATTTTTCTTTAGAATCTCCCATAAGCACAGTATCATCAGCAAAAAGTAACTGTGTCAATTCCCATTTTGAATTTGATTCCCCATAATTTAATCCCACCCCTCTCCCAAACACCCTAGCATTTACTTCCTTTACAACCCCATCTATAAATATATTAAACAACCATGGTGACATTACACATCCCTGTCTAAGACCTACTTTTACCGGGAAGTAGTCTCCCTCTCTTCTACACACCCTAACCTGAGCCTCACTATCCTCATAAAAACTCTTTACAGCATTTAATAACTTACCACCTATTCCATATACTTGCAACATCTGCCACATTGCTCCTCTATCCACTCTATCATATGCCTTTTCTAAATCCATAAATGCAATAAAAACTTCCCTATCTTTATCTAAATACTGTTCACATATATGCTTCAATGTAAACACCTGATCTACACATCCCCTACCCACTCTAAAACCTCCTTGCTCATCCGCAATCCTACATTCTGTCTTACCTCTAATTCTTTCAATTATAACCCTACCGTACACTTTTCCTGGTATACTCAGTAAGCTTATTCCTCTATAATTTTTACAGTCTCTTTTGTCCCCTTTCCCTTTATATAAAGGGACTATACATGCTCTCTGCCAATCCCTAGGTACCTTCCCCTCTTTCATACATTTATTAAACAAAAGTACCAACCACTCCAACACTATATCCCCCCCTGCTTTTAACATTTCTGTCATGATCCCATCAGTTCCAGCTGCTTTACCCCCTTTCATTTTACGTAATGCCTCACGTACAACTATATATTAAATAAGAATTTCTCTAGGATTTGATAACTGTATGTTTTTAAGACTAATGAAAGCATTATACTCGTAGGGGTCATTTAGTGCCAGGAGAATGGGAGGTAATCAGGTTTGATCCAATGAAGAGGACAAAACCAGTCCTTGGAATAAAAGCCCTTCCCTGTGTCGAGGAACTTCCCTAAGGGGAGTATATTACAGTAGATGGTATTATTATGTGTTGCTAATTAAATGCTTTACTGTACAGCCAATGTTGTACTTCACTAGAAATCCTGAAGTAAAAACTTTTCTTGGTAGAAAACTTGATTTGATAAACTCACCTGAAACTTTGTTTTAGATCTTGAAGAACTTCTGGAAGATGGCAACATTACTGAGATACAGTTTCACAATTTGATCAATGGAAGCACCACTTACGCTCAGGCAGAAATGCTACGTCAGGCACATTTGGTCTATGGTAAGTACATAATATGTACTATGTATATATTCTTATATATACTCAGATGTAATTGCAAGTAAATATACTCTTGAAATAATTATTTTTTGTAGAAATACACTGGTTAATGCAATTAAACCATACCACGGGCGGGATTGAACCCACGGTCAGAGTCTCAAAACTCCAGACTGTGGTATGGTTTGTTTGCAATCGTGTCATTACGATTTCGTGAGTCATGTTGACGGCAGTGAGGGGACTTGAGCTAGAGTTCGTCACGGCCACGCTAGCTGGAGATTCGTCTGTAAAAACTTGCATTTGTGGTCACAGTGGTGCCTTTGCTAACCTTCCTATGGTGTAGAAATATACCTAGTTGGACGAATCTTATTGTGGCTAGCTGGTCCAGTGGCTAATGCGACGGTCTGGAGTTTTGAGACTCTCTGACTGCGGGTTCAATCCCGCCCATGGTATGGTTTGTTTGCAATTGTGTCATTACAATTTCGCGAGTCAGTTAATGCAATTCTTTTGAGTAGTATTATACTCAGTGTTGTTGGTGTCACTCCCACAAGGAAGTTGTTTGTTATTATTACTTGAAGTGCTAAACCAGTGAGAAAGTACTAAACACATAGTGGTCATGTAGTGCTCAGGGAAAGGGAAGTACTGTAATCTGGTTTGATCCGAGAAAGAGAAGGACAACTTCAGTTACCTGGATCAAGAGCCATTCACCACTCAAGGCATCCTCCATTGAAGGGAAAAAAATGAGGAAAATAGTAAGAATATTTAATTTAGTACAGTATATCTACTGTAATAACAGAATATAGCTGAACTTGGAGGATAATCTGAGTACTTTAATAGTTCATTGACTTACTAAGAGTTTAATAAAAGACAAAATAATTTCCTTAATTTAAATTTTTATAATTATATTGTACCAAATATGCAGGATTATGTCCTTTTTCATTGTAGCCTTTCCCACACTGCCATACAAGCCAATAAATTTCATCCCTTTGTTCCAGTTATGGCCTAGAGATCTCGAGGAACTTTAAGTCTTAAAATTAACAATTTAATGAGATGTTTAGCTGATGCTGGTTATTTTAACTTTGTATGTTTTTTAGTGTTACTTATATATTTTGTATTATGTGTTGTACTTTTTATTGCTAAGAATGCTGAATGATTTACAGTTAAAGCACTCTTCATATTTCAAGGTAACCTACCATCCATGACCTGCAGAATGAGGTCACACAAGTACTTGTATTTTCTTTTTGGGCCACCCTGCCTCGGTGGGAGACAACCAACTTGTTGAAATAAATAAATAAATAAATAAATAAATAAATTATATATACTGTATATATATATATATATAAATATATATATATATATATATATATAGGATGTGAAAAGTGGGTTATAGTAAGCGTGTATGCACCTGGAGAAAGAGAAGTGTAGAGGAGAGAGAGAGATTCTGGGAAATGTTGAGTGAATGCGTGGGGAGTTTTGAATCAAGTGTGAGAGTAATGGTGGTTGGGGATTTCAATCCCTAAAGTGGGAAAAAAATGTTATGGAGGGAGTAGTAGGTAAATTTGGGGTGCCAGGGTAAATGTAAATGGGGACCTTTAATTGAGCTATGTGTAAAAGAAATTTGGTAATAAGTAATACATATTTTATGAAAAAGGGGATAAATAAATATACAAGGTAGATGTAGCACGTAATGAAAGTAGTTTGTTAATTATGTATTGGTGGATAAAAGGTTGATGGGTAGGCTCCAGGATGTACATGTTTATAGAGGGGCAACTGATATATCGATCATTATTTAGTTTGTAGCTACAGTTAGAGAAGAGGTAGAGGGGAAAAGAGGAAGGTGGCAACAACAAGAAAAGAGGGGGGTGAAAGTGTATAAACTAAGGGAGGAGGAAGTTCGGGCGAGATATAAGCGACTATTGGCGAAAGGTGGGCTATGCAAAGATGAAAGTGGGGGGTTGAAGAGGGTTGGAATATTTTTAAAAAATGCAGTAATTAGAATGGGGGGCAGAAGTTTGTGGTTATAGGAGGGTGGGGGCAGGAGGAAAGAGGAGTGATTGGTGGAATGATGAAATAAAGGGTGTGATAAAAAGAAAAAGGTACTTTACGAGAGGTTTTTACAAAGCAGAAGTGTTATAAGAAAGCAGAGTATATGGAGAGTAAAAGAAAGGTGAAGAGAGTGCAAAAGGAGAGCAGATGAAAGAGTGGGAGAGGCACTGTCAAGAAATTTTAAAAGAAAATAAGAAAAAATTTTGGAGTGAGTTAAACAAGTTAAGAAAGCCTAGGGAAAGTATGGATTTGTCCCCTTAAAACAGAGTAGGGGGGTTAGTAGATGGGGAGAGGGGGTATTAGGTAGAAAGCGAGAATATTTTGAGGAACTTTTAAATGTTGAGGAAGAAAGGGAGGCGGTAATTCATGCACTGGTCAGGGGGGTATACCCCTCTTTTAGGAGTGAAGAAGAGCAGAATGTAAGTGTGGGGGGGGTACGTGAGGCATTTACGTAGAATGAAAGGGGTAAAGCAGCTGGAACTGATGGGATCATGACAAAATGTTAAAAGCAGGGGGATATAGTGTTGGAGTGTTGGTACTTTTGTTTAATAAATGTATGAAAGAGGGGAAGGTACCTAGGGATTGACGGAGAGCATATAAAGGGAAAGAGGACAAAAGAGATTGTAAAAATTATAGAGGAATAAGTTTACCGAGTATACCAGGAAAAGTATACGGTAGGGTTATAATTGAAAAATTAAGGTAAGACAGAATGTAGAATTGCGGATGAGCAAGGAGGCTTCAGAGTGGGTAGGGGATGTGTAGATCAAGTGTTTACATTGAAGCATATATGTGAACAGTATTTAGATAAAGGTAGGGAAGTTTTTATTGCAGTTATGGATTTAGAAAGGCATATGATAGTGGATAGAGGAGCAATGTGGCAGATGTTGCAAGTTTATGGAATAGGTGGTAAGTTACTAAATGCTATAAAGAGCTTTTATGAGGATAGTGAGGCTCAGGTTAGGGTGTGTAGAAGAGAGGGGGAATACTTCCCATAAAAGTAGGTCCCTTTGACAGGGATGTGTAATGTCACCATGGTTGTTTAATATATTTATAGATGGGTTGTAAAGGAAGTAAATGCTAGGGTGTTCGGGAGAGGGGTGGATTAAATTATGGGGAATCAAATTCAAAATGGGAAAATTGACACAGTTACTTTTGCTGATGATACTGTGCTTTTGGAGATTTTAAAGAAAAATTCAAAGGTTAGTGGGTAGTTTGAGAAATGTGTGTAAAGGTAGAAAGTTGAAAGTGAACATAGAAAAGAGTAAGGTTTATGAGGGGATCAAATGATTTAGATAAAGAAAATTGGATATCAAAATTTGGGGGGGAGGAGTATGGAAGAAGTGAATGTTTTCAGATACTTGGAGTTGACGTGTCGCGGATGGATTTAAGAAGGATGAGGTTAATCATAGAACTGATGAGGGAAAAAAGGTGAGTGGTGCGTTGAGGGATATGTGGAGTCAAAAAAAGTTATCTATGGAGGCAAAGAAGGGGAAAGTATGAAAGATAGTAGTACAAACACTCTTATATGGGTGTGAAGCTTTGGGGGGTAAATGCAGCAGCGAGGAACGGTTGGAGGCAGTGGAAAATGTCCTGTCTAAGGGCAATGTGTGGTGTAAATATTATGCAGAAAATTTGGAGTGTGGAAATTAGGAGAAGGTGTGGAGTTAATAAAAGCATTAGTCAGAGGCAGAAGAGGGGTTGTTGAGGTGGTTTGGGTCATTTAGAGAGAATGGATCAAAGTAGAATGACATGGAAAGCAATATAAATCTATAGGGGAAGGAAAGAGGGGTAGGGTCTCCTCGAAAGGGTTGGAAAGAGGGGTAAAGGAGGTTTTTGGGCGAGGGGCTTGGACTTCCAGCAAGCGTGCATGACGTGTTAGATAGGAGTGAATGGAGACGAATGATACTTGGGACCTGACGATCTGTTGGAGTGTGAGCAGGGTAATATTTAGTGAAGGGATTCAGGGAAACCGGTTATTTTCATATAGTCGGACTTGAGTCCTGGAAATAGGAAGTACAATGCCTGCACTTTAAAGGAGGGGTTTGGGATATTGGCAGTTTGGAGGGATATGTTGTGTATCTTTATACGTATATGCTTCTAAACTGTTGTATTCTGAGCACCTCTGCAAAAACAGTGATAATGTGTGAGTGTGGTGAAAGTGTTGAATGATGATGAAAGTATTTTCTTTTTGGGGATTTTCTTTCTTTTTTGGGTCACCCTGCCTCGGTGGGAGACGGCCGACTTGTTGAAAAAAAAAAAAATATATGTTGTGTATCTTTATACGTATATGCTTCTAAACTGTTGTATTCTGAGCACCTCTGCAAAGACGGTGATTATGTGTGGGGTGTGGTGAAAGTGTTGAATGATAATGAAAGTATTTTCTTTTTGGGGATTTTCTTTCTTTTTTGGGTCACCCTGCCTCGGTGGGAGACGGCCAACTTGTTGAAAATATATATATATAATATATAATATATATATATATATATATATATATATTATATATATATATATATATATATATATATTATATATATATATATATATTGGCAGTTTGGAGGGATATGTTGTGTATCTTTATATGTTTATGCTTCTAGACTGTTGTATTCTGAGCACCTCTGCAAAAACAGTGATAATGTGCGAGTGTGGTGAAAGTGTTGAATGATGATGAAAGTATTTTCTTTTTGGGATTTTCTTTCTTTTTTGGGTCACCCTGGCCTCGGTGGGAGACGGCCGACTTGTTGAAAAAAAAAAAAAAAAAAATATATATTATATAATATATATATATATATATTTATATATATATATATTATATATAATATATAATATATATATATATATATAATATATATATATATATATATATATATATATATATATATATATATATATATAATGAGCATGTATAAACATGTGCACATATACATTCATAGATACATATTGCTTAATTCCTTGTAGCAATAGTTGTTGTTCCAACAGATCTGGTAGTGCCAACAGTGATTATGACTGTGCTGGTTCTTGGCAATGTTGCGGTTGTCTTTCTGATCATTTACTGCCGCAGGTAAATTATTATTATATTCACAATTATTATTATAATATAACCAAGCGCTAAACCCATAAGGGTCATATAGCAATTCTTTTCACAAAAAAAGCTAAATGTCACAGTTAAATATAACTATATTGCACAACTTGAGTAGATGTTGATGTCTAATGTAATGGTCGCTGGTTCAGTAGCTTTATTATATACCCATCTCATTACAATATCCTTTATCATTTTGGACATTATTAGCTTTCAGTGACTCTGAACTTGTGATCTCACACACATTGTTGTCAATCTTCCGCTCAATGCTTTCTCTCTGATCAATTTTTGATGCTGCATCAGAGTAACCTTGATCCTTGAAATGTACACTGACTGTTGTACATGAGTATTTTAAGATAAAATTCAGTCTTGTAATAGAGGAAGCCCTCAAAATGGGATGATAGTTGAAAATAATATTTGAATTTTATTTAAAAATACATTACTGTATTTGTTATTCAAAATTCTTCCTTGTTCAGAAATTCAGTTTAAATAATAGTATGTCCAAAATTCACATGTTTTAGAATAAGATAAAATATTAACCTGTAAACGGTCCAAACGTATATATACGTTTTTTTCAACATTTGAAAGTATGTAAAAAAAAGTAGATCTTCTTTTTGTTTTTTTACATTTGAAAATGTGTAAAAAAACTTTAATCTACTTTTTTTTTTTTTGTTATATTTGAAAATATGTAAAAAAAATGTAGATCTACTTTTGTAGCGCTACACATGTGAACGTAGATCTGCTTGGACCTTTTACATTTAAAACTCACTCAAATTTTGGAATTTTGAAAAACAAAAAAAAAAAAAAATTTTTTAATTTTAAAAATGCTTTATGATTTTGGAATTTCGGGTTACAGAAACTGTGCTGGGAGACTAAACAAAATCCCCCAACTTTTAAATTGGGAAAAAACTTCTAATTGGTTTTTCCAATAAAAACAAAATATTGCTTCAACTTAAGACCTTAAATTCAGAATTTTAAAAAAAAAAAAGATAAAATTCCCAATATTATTATAAATGGTAACAAGTTTAAAAATAAAAAAAACCTGCAACATTTGAGTATCTTTAAAATAATAATAAAAAATTTTGGGGGACACCTGACGGCTGTTTTGGGAGTGGAAAAAGGAAATTTTTTTAAAGGGATTCGGGGGAAACCGGTAGCCACTTGGGTCCTGGAAATGGAAGAAACAAGCCTGCACTTTAAAGGAGGGGTTTGGGATATTGGCAGCTTGGAGGGACATCCAAACTGTCATATCTGAGTGCCTCTGTACAGACATTGATTATGTAAGAATGATGGTGAAAGTGTTAAATGATGAAAGTTTTTCTTTCCTTTTGGGTCGCCCTGCCTTGGTGGGAAATGCCTGACATATTAAAAAGAAAACCTAAAAATGCACGGGTTATGCAGATTTTTGCAGTGCTTCAGTCGGATACAGAGGTGATTACATTACTGGAGACAGTATAAGTGGAGTGGTAATTTTGAAGTTATCAGTCCCTCAGCCTTGATAGATGATCAGTCTCTTAAAGCACAGGCATGAGGCCAGAGACTAACACTGTAACTAGATAAGATGTACTAAAGATGACAAGGTGGACCGCCCACAGTAAGTCGTGTTTAAGAGTATTAGCAATATTTAGAGGACTCCTGTGTACCAAAATACCATAATCTTGATGTATCAGCCAGGTATCATGTTATAAATAGCTAACAATACCAAAATTTTATAGGGACAACACATCAACATTTTTTGGGATCTTTAAAATAATACACTGCATAAAAATATTTAGTATTTTAAATGAAGATACCTAAGTGTTGCCATTTGTCATACTTAACAACCCGCACATTGTATGTGATTTTTTGATACTTTTCTGACAAGCAACTTATAGTATAGTATCTTGGAATGGGGGTTGATTTTTTCCCAATCTTTTTCTAACATTTAATTAGCACCCACTTATTTGTACTAGGGGGTCCTCCCCAAACTTGTGGTGTAAATCTCGGGCTATACCTTATTTCCCGGGGTTCCTGTATACAAATCCGACCTCTTTCCTCTGTTTTAGGCTAAAGACTAAACCACCTTCTTTCAAGCGGGAAAGTGTCACCTAAACCACCCTTTTTACTGTCTCCAGCACGGGTAATTACCTCTGTATATAGAAATTAAACCCCATGTGCAGGAAAACCATTTTGGCAGTAAGGAAACCAAAAAATTTTTTGTACATATATCCTGTTTGTCTTTTTTAAGCTTAATTTGGCAAAAGTTTTTTAATTTTTTCCAAAAAAAAAAAAAATTGCCCCAATTTTGTATTATTTTTTTACAACCGAGATCGCTTGTTTATGTATGACATTCCCCTTTTTTTCTGAATGTGTGTATTGCAAACTTACTTTTGAAAAGAATCTTACTAAAAATTGCTCTAAATTTAAAGCATAAAAAAATAAACAAAAATTTTCCTTAAATGACTACAAATCTTTTGGTCCCTTTTTACAAATTTATTTTTTTTTTCAGGGGTGTGTTTGAAGGGGGTGTCCATTTTTTTTAAAACTAAGCCCCATAAAGGGCAAACCCCAAAACCCAACTGATGTCATAGACAGTCCCCCTTTGAAATGTGTTTTTTTTTGGGGCAAACCTTAAAGGGTTATTAAGGAAAAGATTAATTTGGAAGAAGTATTTTTATTTAAAAGCCCATCCCCTTTGTCCTAAAAGCAAGGTCCTTGACCCCCACTTGACATGATGGGTTAAAAGGTTTTAAATAAAACACCGGGGCCTTTAAAAGACCAAAGGGTTATTAAGAAACAACAAAATAGATGCAAGATTTTAGACATTCCCCCCGATTTGAAAAGATAAAAGGGTTTCCCGAAAAACTAACCTGATAAAATGCAAAGCTCTAGAAAACTTGACTTGATAGATTCAAGGTTTTTTGAGAGGGCCCCAACACAATGTAAAAGCGGGGTTTTCTAGAGATCCCTTTAACATGACAGACAAAAGGGTTTTCATTGTTGTTGTGGAGACACCATGAAACGGGGGACCCCAAAAAGCATGAAAAAATTTTTTAAATGACAGCTTACTTTCTAAAGCAAAGGCAAGTAACAGTAAAATATCAATACTGTTCAAAAAATTTAAAAAAAAATACCGGCCCAGATTTGGAGTTGAAATTTTAAAAATTTACCTAAATTCCAAAAACCATCTTTTTTCTTTTTTTTTAAGTTAAATTTAACACATTTTTAAAAAAATTGGACAAATTTGAAAATTTTTAAAAAAAATAAAAAATTTTTCCATAAAAGGATCACCCAAAAAAATTGAAACCATAAATTCGGGCCCATATAAGCGCAACAAACAGAAAAATCATAACGGTCAATCATAATCAATTCAGGGTTAATTACCTCTTACTTTAAACACTAAAGTGAAACCCAAAAGCCTCTTTTTGCCCCTTACCTTGAGATAAAAGGGAAGAGTGTTTTTCCAATCATAGGGGCCCCCCCTTATATGGCAGGTTAGGTTCCAGGCAAAACCACTGTAAACCCAAAATTTCGCCGAAAGGGTGGGAACGCCCTTTTTTTTCCCCCTTTAAAAAAGGGCTTTCAAATACAGATAACAATTTTACAAAAACAAAGGAGCAATAAACTGGGGCCATAAAAAAAACAAAAAAAAAACAAAAAACCCACATAGTCCATCATTAACTTCCCTTTAAAAAAATATTTATAGTCTTAATCTAGGTGAGATGAGTAGTATTTATTGTAAGAAACAAGTGTGGATGTATGGAAATCACGGGGGGCACCCTACCCCGGCCCCTTCCACCCACACATACTATTCTATGATATTTTTAACATCCCAGAGTGATAAAAAAAGCTTTTACAATTCACGCTTTTCTTACCTTTAAAAAATTTGTAGTCCCTTTAAGGGGTACCTGCATGCCCCCACATTTCGAAAAAATTTATTTAAAAGGGACAGTAAAATTATCAAGTTTTAAAATTAAAAAAGAAATAACTTTTAAAAAAAACCCTTTAAATTTTGGGGTTTTTCCCGACATAATGGGAGACCTTTTGCTTAGGGGTCTTTAGGAGAAAGTAAAAAAACCGGGGGGCGCGGTGATCATATTAAAATCAGGTGGGGGGGGCCGTAAGCGGTTTTTGGTCATAATTTTAAATGACCGATTGCGGGAAAGCCATAAAGGGGGGGGGCCCTAAATGTAAATTGTTTTTGGGGAAAAAATTTTTCTCAATGCCAGAAAAAAACAGTAAATTTTTTATTTTTTGTAACCCCCAAATAATCTAGTTCCCAAAAAAGGCTGGGATTATTTACATTTTCCCTTTTTTACCACAGCCCTATGAAAACTCAGATATTCTAGTCCCTTTAAAAAAGGGGCCAAATATTGTATCTTGAACTATTGTTTTTAATTCTCACATTAACATATCTTGAAAGATATCACTGGCAATAAACTATACTTAAAGCAGACCAGGATTATTGTGTCTAGCTGAAAAAAGGTTAATAGCTTTTTTTTTTTTTTTTCAAAACTATATTCTTAATCCTAAACATAATACAACTGTATTAGGTTGATTCTTGATGAACACTAAAGGTTGCTTAAAAAGCACATTTATGAAATTATGTATGTAGCAATACATCAAAAATACTCAGAGTAAGGTAAGAATAATGTAATCAAACAGAATATGTACTGAAATGTTTTCTCATCAGTGCAACACTGAATCTGGTTCACTGTGTTGTAAGCATCGATACAAAATGAGATTACAGCACTCAGGCTTAAACGATTAAATATTTGTTGCCCAGGACCTTGTGCTGTGTCGAATAATGTTACAAGATAGTGCCTATTGCCTCACAATTGTACAATATACATATTTTTATTTGGAATGTATTGTAGAGTACAGTACTGTAATACACAACATACTTGTACTGTACTTTTCAGAGTAGTAAGGTTAAATGTACTCGTGTGGTATTTTTTGAAGTACTGTACTGTATTTCTCTGAGATAGTGACATGTGTTCTTCCTGACGGCTGAATACATAGTTTAGTGTTTAAGTGTCTTACTGAGAAGCACCTCTTGTGCTGGTAGTTTAGATCTGTTCATTAATGTCACTAGGTTAAACAACGGGATAAAGCTATGATCTCATTGCTGATTTCTGCATTGTTTTAAGAAAACAGAAACTAGTCATTCTTTAAAATTAGAAATACATAAATTTAATTTATTGATTTTCTAACTCCACCCACCAGCTCATAATAGTATGACAATGCTAATATGAGTTATTGTTCCCAAATATGCATCTCACTGGACAATCTGATTAAAGTAAATGTCCAAATTACACTTGACTAAATAGAAGACAAATCATTTATATATACTATATGTAAGAAGCCTTCATAATCCCTAGGTAGTAAATCAATCTTTCATATGATTATAGTAGGCAAAAAATCTAAAACCTGGAATTTAAAGTAGATAGAGATTTTAATTATGGTTCTTCAATTAGAGGACAGTTTGATAAACACTGGATTATAATCACAGGAAGGCCTAAACATATAAGGTCATCGGGTTTGATCCAAGGAAGGGGAAAGTAACTCAAGTTTCTTGGAACAAGAGCCCTTTACCATCATAAAGTAGCCCCTCCCCTCTTTAAGGATTAAACCTCAGAAAAAAAAAATGTCAAAAACCAACAGGTAGTGGTGCATTGTTAAGGCAGCCAGGGAGGACCATTTTAGTGAGATTATCATGGGAAGCTCTAGGCCCATATGGAATTCATACAGCATCTGCCTAATGGGAGGTGATCTTTGTGCACTGCAATGCATCATGGGTGCTTAAGATGAACTAACTAACTTACTACAGTGATGTAAATTACCATATTTTCTGGCACATAAGGCTCACAAGTGTCAGCTGCTTGCTGGCACAATGTCTCCAAGCAGTTGTGGTGTAACGTTAGTAAACTAACTGCTAAAGTGTAACCCAAAGCTTACCCTTGACCCGGACCTTAAGTATATAAGGCACAGGCTGATTTTCCCAGGATTTTTTGGGGGGTTAAAGTGTACCTTATATGCCAGAAAATACGGTACCTCTAAAGTTAAGGGAAACTGACTGTTTTGGTTACTCTCTAGTGTTCCCGTGAACCATGTCATGTAAACCTAGATTCAAAATATTTTCTTATCAAACAGACAGCAAACTAGTCAGTCTATTTTAGTACTTGGAAATACAGTGGAAATCCTGGTTTACGATATTTTTTCATTCCAGAAATATGTTCAGGTGCCAGTACTGACCAAATTTGTTCCCATAAGGAATATTGTGAATTAGATTAGTCCATTTCAGACCCCCAAACATACACGTACAAACGCACTTACATAAATACACTTACATAATTGGTCGCATTGGGAGGTGATCGTAAAGCGGGGGTCCACTGTACATTGCTTTTCAGCAGTATGTTTCAAGACAGTTGGAACGTGCTAATGAAACATACTACTGGTACTTACTGTGCCTATTATCAACCATGGTTGGAACATACTGTTGGCTCTTACTCATTATAAACCATATTTGCAACATGCAACCGGTACTTACCTATCAGAATACATTACTGAAGAATTTATCGATAACATTAACATCCTATTTCCAATTATTTGTCATTGTATCAGTTACAGGGTTGTGCCAGAGTATTGGTATTGACCTAAAATTCACTACAGAAGGGCCCTGCTTATACAGCAGGTTAAGTTCTGGGCTACTGCTGTAAAGTGAATCTTAGCCTTTTTTTTTTCACTTTCAAATGCATATAAGAGCCTAATAACATGTTTACCCTATCATATATTAAGTGAGCAATAGAGCTAGGTCTAAAAAATGGATATACAGTACACATTACTCACTTTAAAATATTTTCGTCCTTAGCTTATACGTAGTGAGAAAGTCTGAATAAATGAAGAATGGGTATAATTGACAACTACTGTATTAGTGAAATACACTAAAGCAAAGTGCTGTAAAATGGAGCCTTCCTGTATTGGTATTGGTCATGGCAAGAAATCTGGTATCGACCCATCCCTAATCAGTTATTTACCAATCAATATTATGAGAATATTGACTTTTACCTTCATTTGTAAATACTGCATATGGTACTGATGTAAAGAATTCTTTATACTATTTGTAATGTAGTATTGTTTATTATTTGTATTTTAATGAAGGTGATTATATTAGTTTGTAATACTCTATTGTTGTTGCAGTTATGTTCTATTTTCAGCAGTGAAGTTAAGGATTTTGTTTGTTTGCTGTACTTAATACATTAAATTATAATGTATATTTTTTCCACCCCTTCAAAATGTCTACATTATGAAAAACCTAAATAATGCAAAACATTTATTGTAATAAAATTTGTAATACTGTATACTGGGTAGTGATGGCATGATGTATTCATGTCCAAAAATCAAATGTACTAGTAAATAAAAAGTATAAGAATTTACCTTCATCTCTTCACCCAGAATTATTATATTCCAGTGGATGGTCAACCTCTGAGGATGATCATACACTCAGAAATGTTAGGTAATCAGGTTTAATTCAAGGAAGAGAAGTGTACTTCCAAGAGCCTTTCATCAGCATCAAGGAAACTCCCTTAACCCGTAAACGGTCCAAACGTATATATACGTTCACTACCGTACTGCCCCAACTTTTTTGAGAAAAAAAGCATTGTTGTTTTTTAATAGGAAAAAAGAGCATATGGTACCCAGGCATCCCCAATTATTTTAATATGGTGCACAGGTGCACAGTGAGTGCTCACACCCATTCTCGCATGTCTAGGCGACTCAGGCTTATCGTGGCAATGTTAAATGTAGGACACATAAAACATATATATACGTTTGGACCATTTACGGGTTAAAGGGAGTACTGTACAGAATTTGGAGGAATTGAAATAAATAATACATTTACCTTATCACATTGCTCACACTCCAACGTGAAGAGATTTAGAGAAAAAAGTTTGCCAGACTTAGAGTCCTGGTGGTGGGAAGGAAAGTGCCTGCACTCTGGAGGAGTGAGGATGTTGCAGTCGGAGGGTCATCTGAATTGTATCAGCATATTTCTGGAAAGACAGATTGAATCAAGGTGAAAGTGCTTCTTTTTGGGGTGAATGTCACAAGACCTCAGTGAGAGATGGCTGACGGAGTGAAACATATCATTTACTAATAAAACATTAGGATAATTTTTTTTTTTTTTTTACCTTTTTTTCCACGAAGGGAATCACTAGAGGTTTTCAGAAAGCTGAAAATGCCGTTTTAGACATTCAGCATGACTATACACATCAATAAATAAAGCTTTACGCTACAGTAAAGTAATCAGCATTATTATCATGGGGGAGCGCTAAACCTGTAGGGATTATACAGCACCTGGGGGGGGTATGGTTGGTATTCAGGGTCAATTCAGGGAACTGGAGCACATATCCAATTCCCTCGATCAAGAGCCTCTCACCTTAAGGGTGAGAGGCTCCTTAAGGGAAAGATAATCAGCAGATAGGTATTTACTGGAGTCAGAATACTAATTTCAAGGTATTTCTGTTATTATTATAACACTCATGGGAGAAGGAAATGCTAAGGAATATATACGAGTTATAATGCAATTCTAAATCTGATATTTCATGTACCCACCAGTGTTGTATGACCCTTGTGGGTTTGGCACTTAAGTTTTGATTAGAATAATAATTATATACATACACTTACTAATCATTTCTAATGATGTTCACAAGTAATTTTATTAGTTTATGACTAGTCTTGTCTAAACCCAAGCATAATGTGCACACTGAAATGACTACTACTCACTATAATTCTCTTTACCTTACACCCAGCTAAGTGAGCCACGGCAGGAAATGTAAAATAACAAAATTCACATTTTATATATCTTATGTGGGAAGAAAATATGGAAACTGAGAAATATATAAAAAATTTAGCAACTGCTTTTATTTCAGGTTTTGAGAGAATTGCTACAATTAAAGAAAATGTACGAAATCAACTCACTAAGAGCACTTGCCACTTGCACTATATACAATAAGAGTACTTTCATAGAGAGCTGTCATTACTAGACTATCACTTCAGATGATGGCTTCACATGTTCTGGAAGTCTGTGTAGTTCGTGCTGTGAGGAAGAAAAGGAATACCTTAATATATAATAACATACTGTATAACACTAATATTAATAGTAATTCAGAGCAACACCCACCTACAATACTTTAGAGATTTATTGCTTTTATTTAAAATTCATTGTAAACTTTCACATAAAGTTCAAAGCCCAGATGCTGCAGGAGGGATGGTAACTGACAGCTGCTAACCGAGTCACGCCATCAGTAGTTTCCACTCAACCTATTTCTTTTTATAACAATACTTTATGTTAATTTTATTAATTTATACAGGCAGGGGGGTTACTAGTCCCTTGCTTCTGGCATTTTAATCACTTTATAACATGCATGACATGGAGGAAGGATTTGGAGGCTCTGCCAGGAAGGTTCACAGCTATACAGTGAGGCTGACCAAAAGGGCCCCCTTTAATCACCAGGTTGAATTTTATTTTAACTGGTTAGCCAGACTTGAGTCCAGGGGGAGGCAAGTACAATGCCTACACTTTGAAGGAAGGATGGGGATATTTGCTGTTTGGTGGGGCATCTGAACTGTTGTATTGGCACGCCTCTGGCAAGACAGCGATAGAGTGCAACTGGGCAGTAATAAATTTATCCAAGAAATGGGAAGGGTAGCCTTAGTATCTTGTATTAACAGCACTTTCTAAGCATCAAGGCACCTCTTCTGAAGGAAACACCTCCCTGAATCTCTCTCTCTCTCTCTTTTGATCCTCTCACCCCTCCAGGTGCATCAATACTGATTTACCCACTATCACGCCTTATTCTGCTATATCCTACAATTTTGGAATTCAAGAATTTATAATCCTTATTTTTTTTTGACACTATTTTCTTTCTCAAATGGCAACAGTACATATTAAGAAAATAACTATATTTGAAGACACGATACACATCATGTCTTAAATTAGATGAACCAAATGAGTTGATTTACTGAATAACAAACTCTAGCAATGATCATAAGGCTTCTTAATTTTAAAAAAATATGAAAATGAAGGAAAAACAGTGCAGTGAAGAATTAATTATACTGCATCTAAAGAACATTAAAAATAAAAGCAAATAATAATTACAAATTGCTACATACTTTGGTGACTTTCATGGCCACTCCTTCAGGAAGGTTTCTCTGTATATATTCCAGAAATGTGTCTGTTGTGGAACCTGTCAGTCTTGCAAACTTCATTATCAGAAAGTGTGTCCGCACTTCGTACTGCACACGATGGTGCTTGTGGATGTGTACAGATTTAAGTAGGGTCCAGCGGTGTATGTGTTTCTTGGGCCATAAGCTGAGAACAAAATATTGTATAAATTATTAGGTAAATGGTAAGCACTCACCTGTATCATTCATGAATGGAACATACACATTTAACCCTTTGAGGGTCGACAGGCCCTCTCCGAAACTCGTTCTCAGGGTCGGCCAAATTTAAAAAAAAAAAATTATTTTCTCTTATGAAAAGATAGAGAATCTTTTCCCGATCATAAAGACACCAAAAGTTTGAAATTTGATAGAAAACTTACGGAATTATGCTCTCGCAAAGTTAGCGGTCTCGGCGATGTTTACGCATTGGCGATTTTGCCCACTTTGAGCCCCATTTTTGGCCAATTTCACTGTACTAGTCGACAAAAAACATGAATATTTCGCTAGAACTCCATTTTTTCTATCGAATGGGTGCAAGAAACCACCCATTTATGAAATTCAACTATCCAGTACAGTGGTCAGAATTTAGCAATTTTGCCAATTTCACACAAATTTCAAAAGATGCCAATTTCCGAAAAGGGTCCAGAATAAACAAGAAAGACATTCCTGGCACTAAAATGACATTTCCTCTAGTCATTAGTCACGTCTCAAGGCCCCTCTTATATTCTTTTGCTTCCACTTTGAATTTTTATTCTCACAAAAAATATAAGATTTACTGTTATGCAGACTACTGCATTAGTGAAAAAAAATGGTATAAATATTATTGGTGCACTTGTGAAAGAATATTAGACTCACCAGTTGACGTGTATTGGACGCCTGGCACGATTTGTTTACTTTTGAAGTTTGGTAAAAATCGAACATTTCTGCTACTTTGAGCTCAATTTCAAGGCACCTTTCATTGTAAAACCAGTCAAAATCATCTCAATTTCTGTAATATGTCTTCCATTCTATAAAATGAGACCAAGAAAACTAGAATACAACAATAAATACCATACGAAAATACACTGCAAAGTCGCTGATTTATTCCAAAAAAATTGTCAAAGTTTTTTTTTTTCTCATTGTGCACTGTGTGCTGCAGGATTTTTTTTAGACTGTGCACACTGACCACATAGACCCATTCTTTCATATGAAGGCCTACCAGCTTTCTCCCACTAGATTTGAGGCCGCTAGAATTTATGCGTACTAGTACGTCAAAAACCCCTACGCGTACGACGTACTAGTACGACCAAAACCCTCAAAGGGTTAAACACACTTATAAATAAGTGGAAGATGCTCACCTATGCATATTCATTCCTAAATGGTAGATACTCACTTACATTCATTCTTAAATAGTAGGTACTCACCTGCACACACTCATTCATAATTTTTTTTTTCAACAAGCCGGCCATCCCCCACCGAGACATGGTGACCCCCACCCCTCCAAAAAAAAAAGAAACTCTTTCACCATCATTCACTCCATCACTGTCTTGCCAGAGAAGTGGCAATACTCAGTTCAAAGCTGCAAATATCCCCACCCGTCCTTCACAGTGCAGGCACCATACTTCCCACCATTATTATGGTTTAAATCAATATACAGTTGTGATCAATTGCATTTACTGCAGTATTTCCTGACTAAACTAGCGTATGCAATGCTGTATTTTGCTGGAAATAATTGGTAAAATGGCCACCTTCATGTACAGTGGACCCCCGGTTAACGATATTTTTTCACTCCAGAAGTATGTTCAGGTACCAGTACTGACCGAATTTGTTCCCATAAGAAATATTGTGAAGTAGATTAGTCCATTTCAGACCCCCAAACATACACGTACAAACGCACTTACATAAATACACTTACATAATTGGTCGCATTCGGAGGTAATCGTTATGCGGGGGTCCACTGTATTCAATGAAGCTAAAACAAAGTTGTTTTCTTAAGAACAAGGAAAATATTTTATGTAAGGGTGAAAGTAGGTCACACAGCACCTGGGGAATAGGAGGTAATGAGGTTAGATCCAAGAAAGTAGAGGCTAGTTCTATGTTCTCTCTATTGGCATCAAGCAACATCCTGCAAGGTAACGTAGAGAATGCAGTCAGTTGTAAATGTATGGGTGTGCCTCAATAAGCAACAATGTGAGCAGCAACACTAGAGGTTCGTTACTCTTCCTCCTTCCACCCAAACCTGTGTCCCACTTACAATACAATATGAAGAAACATTTATATTTTTTTCTCTTTTAACATGCTGGTTGTGTCTGACCAAGGCAGGGTTACCCAAAAAAGAAACACTTTCACTCTCATTCACACTAGCATTGTCTAGCCAAAGGCACACAGATATGACAGTTTAAATGTCCCTCCAAACAGCAAATATCTCAAACCCCTAGAGTGCAGACACTGTACTTCCCATCTCAAGGACTCTAAGTCCAGTTAACTGCTCACAAATGCCTGCTGTATGTCCAAGCCCCTTGCACTCAAAACATCCTTTACCCCTCCTCCCTCCACCCTTTTCTAGGACAACCCCTACCCTGCCTTCTCTCCACTACAGATTTATACACCCTCCAAGTCAACCTATCTTGCTCTATCCTCTCTAAATGACCAAACCACATCAACAACCCCTCCTCGGCCCACTGCATAATAATTTTATTAACCCTGCACTTCCTCCTCCTCCTAATCTCCAAGGTGTTAACCTCAGAACAGCTTCCAGTAAAATTTATTCATAGCAAGGTCTGGTAGCTCAAGAAGTCCATATAGGAGGGGCTTAGGGGTAGCAGTCTTATTAGAAGGGAGGGCTAGGGAAATTGCTTTGAAATAGTGTTATTGTTATTATTTTGGGGAACAAATGGAGATTATGGGAAGGCTTCAGTGTCCCTTTGGCACTCCCACTGCAAGGTTCATTCAGTACATAATGTCCTTCACTTACAATATGAAAGTGAGAAGAGTAGCAACACTCAAGGCAAGTGGTTCATTAACCCCTACTCCAACAGATGACTTATTTTACAACTTGTTACAATATGCTAATTTCTGCATAACCTAGATAGGCAATAAACTGCAAATAATCATACATTTCCTCTAGTGAAACATTCAGATGGCTGGCTGCTGAAGACACAAACGTTAGGTAGGAACGCAGTACAGCAGTGTCGTGGCCTCGACACTCTACTTCTACCAAGCTGTACAGTTTATCTGGCTCTCCCACTGCTAGATCCTGCAACAATAGCAAAAAAATGTGATTTATGAGCACCCTCCTATATCTCCATCCAAGAAGTTAAAATTACTAGAGTATAAAAAAGCTACCTATACAGGTCATAAACAGAAGATTTAGAAAACAATAAATATATCTACTCTAACTGGCAGTATTTTCCTATCCTGCCCCACACATCTGCCCTCAGTGCCACCACCTGTATGCCACTAACAACTGTGTTCCTATGAGATCATAGGTCAAGAAAATATAAAATACTGTATTATTTTTTTTAACATAACAGCCATCTCCCATCAAGTCAGGGTGACCTAAAAAAAGAAGAAATGTAAAATTTTTCTTCTTTTTACATACAGTAATTTATACAGAAGGGGTTAGAGTACTGTATATATTTTTAATGCAGGATACTGTTGATTAATGTTAGTGATTGAGAGGATCATCTCCCTAGTCTCACACCATGTCTTTTAAATTGAAAAACACACATTAAATGCAGGAATGGAAAATCAAGTGAATAATGAAGCAAAAATTGCAAAATTTACTTTCTATTTTACATGTTTGTGTGACAAAGAAAGCAACAGGGTTACAATTCACACTTAAGAACATAAGAACGAAGGAACACTGCAGAAGGCCTACTGGCCCATGCGAGGCAGGTCCAAGTCTCCTACCGGCTTAAGCCAATGCACCCAACCTAGTCAGGTCAGGTCACATTGACTTAAGGGAGGAACACGGCAACCGACCTGGTAGCACAAGCTATCAGGTCCAACTCACACCCACCCACATCCACTCATGTATTTATCCAACCTATTTTTAAAGCTACACAACGTTCTGGCCTCTATCACTGTACTCGGGAGTTTGTTCCACTCATCCACAACTCTATTACCAAACCAGTACTTTCCTATATCCTTCCTGAATCTGAATTTTTTCCAACTTAAAACCATTGCTGCGAGTCCTGTCTAGGCTAGATATTTTCAGCACACTATTTACATCCCCTTTATTTATTCCTGTCTTCCATTTATACACCTCAATCATATCCCCCCTAATTCTACGTCTTTCTAGAGAGTGCAGATTCAGGGCCCTTAGTCTATCCTCATAGGGAAGGTTTCTGATACATGGGATCAACTTTGTCATCCTCCTTTGTACATTTTCCAGAGAATTTATATCCATTCTGTAATACGGTGACCAAAACTGTGCAGCATAATCTAAATGAGGCCTAACCAAGGATGTATAGAGTTGAAGAACAACCTGAGGACTCCTATTATTTATGCTTCTTGATATGAAGCCAAGGATTCTATTAGCTTTATTGCGAACACTTATGCACTGTTGTCTTGGTTTCAGATTACTGCTAACCAGAACTCCTAAATCTTTTTCGCAATCCGTAATATTAAGATCTACATTATTTAGTTTATATGTGGCATGGTTATTGTCCTGTCCAACATTTAGAACTTTGCATTTGTCTATATTAAACTGCATCTGCCACTTCTCCGACCACTGCATCTGCCACTTCTCCGACCACTGCATCTGCCACTTCTCCGACCACTGCATCAGTCTATTCAAATCTTCCTGGAGTGCTCCAATGTCCTCGTCAGAATGAATTCGACGGCCTATTTTGGTGTCATCGGCAAACTTGCCGATGTCGCTCTTTATGCCCTCATCTATGTCGTTTATGTAGATTGTGAACAGCAGGGGGCCCAACACTGACCCCTGTGGAACACCGCTCGTGACGCTTCCCCACTCTAATTTCTCCCCATTTATGCAAACTCTCTGCTGCCTATTTGTCAACCATGCCTCTATCCAGGAAAAAATTTCTCCTCCTATTCCATGTGCTTTAATTTTCTTCAATAGTCTCTGATGTGGGACCTGTCAAAAGCCTTACTGAAGTCCATATACACAATATCATATTCATTACCATGATCTACCTCCTCAAATACCTTAGTGAAACAAGTTAATAAATTCGTAAGGCAGGAACGCCCCTTTGTAAAACCATGCTGAGATTCGTTGATTAATTTATGCTTTTCAAGGTGGCTACGAACTGCCTCGGCAATTATTGATTCCATAAATTTTCCCACTATGGAGGTTAGGCTTATTGGTCTATAGTTCGAAGCTAAGGACCTGTCACCTGTTTTGAAAATAGGTATCACATTTGCCATTTTCCACTTATCTGGCACCATGCCAGTTTGTAGTGATATGTTGAAAAGATTAGCCAAAGGTGTGCTAAGCTCCTCTTTACATTCCTTTAGAACCCTTGCATACAGTTCATCAGGGCCTGGGATTTGTTAGGTTTTAATTTATCTATTTGCCTAAGGACCATGTCACTCGTGACCCTAATCGTGCACAGTTTATTATCGTCCTGTTCTACATAATTTATCATTACTGGAATATCGCTGGTATCCTCCTGTGTAAAAACTGAGAGGAAGTATGTGTTAAAAATTCTACACATTTCCTTATCACTGTCAGTGAGCTGACCCGAGGAACTTTTGAGTGGGCCTATCTTGTCCCTGATCTTACTTCTGTATACCTGAAAGAATCCTTTTGCGTTAGTCTTCGATTCTCTTGCAACTTTAACCTCATAATCTCTTTTTGCTTTTCTAATTCCCCTTTTTATTTCTCTCTTTAACTGAATATATCGATTTCTTAATTGCCCCTCTCCTCTTTTGATTTGCCTATATATGCCTCTCTTTTGACCAATCAGATATTTTAATCTATTGTTCATCCATTTAGGATCATTTTTGTTTGATCTGATTTCCCTATTTGGAACATAATTTGACTGAGCAGCTAGAACTATGCCCTGGAAAGCATCATATCGGCAACCATCACCACCTACCTGACCCTTAGTCAGGTCATTCCAGTTCAGCCCACCTAAGTAATTTTTCAGTCCTATGAAATCAGCCAAGCGAAAGTCAGGGACGGAGACTTGATTGCCATTATTAGGGAATTCCATGATATATTAAAAACTGAGTGATTTGTGATCACTTTCCCCAAGCTCATCATTAACCTCAAGATTATTAATTAGTGTTTCCCTACTGGCAAGAACCAAGTCAAGGAGGTTATTTCCCCTAGTTGGCTCTGTCACAAACTGTTTTAAAAACAATCCTGGATTGTATCAAGAAAGTCACCTGACTCTAAATTTCCTGTCAAATTGCTCCAGTCAATCTGTCTATAGTTGAAATCTCCCATTAGCACAACATTTTCGTATGTAGATGCCTTACGAATTTCGTCCCATAGAAGTTTACTGCACTCCCTATCAAGATTTGGGGCCCTGTAAATCACACCCAAAATTAGTTTTTCTCGGCCCTCGAGAAGCTGTAACCAAACAGATTCAGTGGCTGACGCTTCTAATTTAATATCTTGTCTAACACAACAATTTAAATTGTCTCTGACATACATCGCTACTCCACCACCTTTCCTGTTGACCCTGTCAGTGTGGAATAATTTATAGCCTTGTATGTGACATTCAGAGGGCATCTCTCTATCTTTCAGATTGAGCCAGGTCTCTGTTATAGCAATAATATCTATGTTTCCTGCACTTGCAATTAATCTTAGCTCATCTATCTTATTTCTTACACTCCTGCTATTAGTATAGTAAACCTTAAGGGAGCTAGTCCCTTGCTGCCTCTGCTGTCCCCCTTTGTTTGCTGACCTGATCTATTGTCTTTATTTATAACTTCATGCTGAATGCCTTTTATACATTTACTGTTTCCAACCCTAGTGTTGCAACCTGCTTGTTTCCCACACACACCCATACCTCTATCTTCCATCAGTTTAAAATCATAGGCATTTCACCAATGGCCTTCTCAATCGAGTCTGCAAGTGCTACCACCCCTGCCCCAGAGAGATGTACCCCATCCCTTGCATACATATCATGTTTGCCATAAAAGTTGTTCCAGTTGTCAATGAATGGGATTGCAAGTTCCTTGCAGTATCTGTCTAGCCAGCAATTTACACCAATTGCCCTAGACAACCATTCATTTCCTACTCCCCTTCTAGGCAAGATGCTACATATGATTGGGATCCCTCCCTTAGACTTAATGAAATCTATAGCTGACCTGTACTTATCTAGCAGCTCTTCTCTCCTACCCTTCCCAATATCATTTCCACCAGCACTGAGACAGATAATGGGCTTGTTCCCATTACCTGACATGATATTATCCAGCCTGTTGACAATGTCCCCAACACCAGCTCCAGGGAAGCACACTCTATCTCTCATCTTCTTATTCCTATTACAAAAAGCACGGTCAATATATCTTACCTGAGAGTCACCAACCACAAGAATGCGCTTACCTCCATTAGCAGGGGCAGTAGTACCCTTACCTTCACTGGCCACTGAAGTATATTCATCCTGAAGAACAGAGAAGCGATTTCCTACCTTCAGATCTTCACTCTTAACTTTCCTTACTCTGATGCGCCTCCCATTACTGTGAACCATTCGCCACTTGTAGCAGGTGCTGGGCTGCACCTCACTGCTGGTAGCCGTTGCTACCTCCCCAACTCCAGCCTCCTCACAGCGAGAGACAGACTGCACCTCACTGCTAGAAGCCTCATTTCCCACAACTCCAGCCACCTCACACTCTCTCCCAGACCCATTGAGGTGGACCTTCAGCCTCCTAATCTCCTCCTGGAGAAGCAAGACCTCCTCCTTCAACTCTCCAACCTCAATTTTTAAAACACTGCAGAAGCAAGCCATGCTTTGTAACCGTCCACGCTAATCCCCAAAGCAGCTCAGGGTCTGTGACCTCACGTGACGACTGACCACTGACCACTGACGACTGACCACTGACCACTTGTAAGGTAGGATGGTAATATTTCCCAGGATGGCTGCTGTGCCTTTACCTCTGATGAGTTCCGAGAGATTTTCTACTCCCAGAGCCCAGCCCTGGGCCAGGCTCGTCTGGTGCTTGCCTGGTCAACCAGGCCAAGCAGTCTACCAACCTACTATATATATCTAACACTATTTTAACTGGTCACTTGTTCTGCAAACCAAAAGTTATTATATACTACTACTATAATTCATTTAAACTAGTACATTACAGCCTCTCCTCACTTAGCGACGTACTCGTTTACCAATGACTCGGACTTACGATGGGTTCTCTGACCAGTATGCATACCTAAATAATGCATATTAGAGTTGATTTCCTTTATTCTGTTTATTACAATATACAGTACACCACTGTAAAAACATTTAAAAAATAGTATACTAAAAATATAAATGGTGCAATTATCATACAAATCAAGGATGGCTGACACAAACCCACTATCATTATAGTATGCTCCTTGCTTAGCGGCAAATTTGTTTACTGATGTGGTCTTAGGAAAGGAACTCCATCATTAAGTGAGGAGAGGCTGTAGTTTCTTAATTTTGTCCAGATTAATAGAGGTACTGGACAATCTGTTGTCAGCAAACTGGTGCTGCAGCTGTATAATCTTCAGTGCTGATTTGATTGTGGACCAATAAAAAATGAAAGAATGAATATAATCTTATCCTCTGCACAAATTAAAAAAAAGGCTTGAGCACAGTAACTGTACAGTACTTACATCTGATGCCGATAAGTAAGAAAGACTGGCGGTATGGAATAATTTTGGAGACAAGGTCCTCTGTGGCAACAAACTTGATCTGAGCAATGGAATGGCAGATAGTTTCTCTGAGATTCGGAAACCACAAGCTGGAGTTGACCGTACCAGCTTCCTTGGTACTACACACCTACCAAAGATGCTTCCAGCTGCCTGTGGAATGATAGTTCTCAGTTTCTTATAGACTATAACTGTCATTGTATGATATCCTGTAATATATCTCACAGCACATTATCTAGTTTTAACTTTTAAAGTTATAATCATGAAAGATGAGGTGAATCATAGAATTGATGAGGGAAAAAGAGTGAGTGGTGCACTTAGGAGTCTGTGGAGACAAAGAACTTTGTCCTTGGAGGCAAAGAGGGGAATGTATGAGAGTATAGTTTTACCAACGCTCTTATATGGGTGTGAAGCGTGGGTGATGAATGTTGCAGCGAGGAGAAGGCTGGAGGCAGTGGAGATGTCATGTCTGAGGGCAATGTGTGGTGTGAATATAATGCAGAGAATTCGTAGTTTGGAAGTTAGGAGGAGGTGCGGGATTACCAAAACTGTTGTCCAGAGGGCTGAGGAAGGGTTGTTGAGGTGGTTCGGACATGTAGAGAGAATGGAGCGAAACAGAATGACTTCAAGAGTGTATCAGTCTGTAGTGGAAGGAAGGCGGGGTAGGGGTCGGCCTAGGAAGGGTTGGAGGGAGGGGGTAAAGGAGGTTTTGTGTGCGAGGGGCTTGGACTTCCAGCAGGCATGCGTGAGCGTGTTTGATAGGAGTGAATGGAGACAAATGGTTTTTAATACTTGACGTGCTGTTGGAGTGTGAGCAAAGTAACATTTATGAAGGGATTCAGGGAAACCGGCAGGCCGGACTTGAGTCCTGGAGATGGGAAGTACAGTGCCTGCACTCTGAAGGAGGGGTGTTAATGTTGCAGTTTAAAAACTGTAGTGTAAAGCACCCTTCTGGCAAGACAGTGATGGAGTGAATGATGGTGAAAGTTTTTCTTTTTCGGGCCACCCTGCCTTGGTGGGAATCGGCCGGTGTGATAATAAAATAAAATAACTTACTGCTAGGCTTAAAATAATAAGATATTCCAGGAACCCTGATGGAAATAAGTCACTTTGTCTAACTTTTTTGGGTTATCCTAGGTAATTTACCCATGTACCTGGAGGGTGTTCCAGGGGTCCATGCCCCCATGGCCTGGTCCATGAACTTACATAGTCAGCACAGAATAGCACAAATACAGTGAAGCCTCAATTTTAGTGAAGTAACATGGGGAAAGTGTCCAGTAATGCTATTTTTTTTTTTGTTAAATCTGAATAATGAGTGTGTTTGTAAATTTGTAACAATACTGGGCAATTCTGAAAACAACGGATTTTATCATAAGGCTGTAATTATGTTCACTGGGTAAATTTAAATAATTTTTCATCACTATATGCCTGTATTAATCATGTGCTTAATACATTTAACAGTTTATATACTTCTAGAAATAGTTTGCATCCATTATACCCAGGTACACTATACCTGGCGAGAACAAATTTTAAAATATAATCATTCTAATCAGAATTTATTGCAATCCCACGCGTTTAGAGTCAGTCTGGCTGCGTTTCTCGTCGGCAGAGGGTGGTAGTGATGGTGGTAGAGGGTGGTAATGATGGTGGTAGAGGGTGATAATGATGGTGGTAGAGGGTGGTAGTGATGGTGGAAGAGGGTGGTGGTGATGGTGGTAGAGGGTGGTAGTGATGGTCGTAGAGGGTGGTAGTGATGGTGGAAGAGGGTGGTAGTGATGGTGGTAGAGGGTGGTAGAGGGTGGTAGTGATTGTGGTAGATGGTGGTAGTGATGGTGGTAGAGGGTGGTAGTGATTGTGGTAGATGGTGGTAGCGATTGTGGTAGAGGGTGGTAGCGAGAGTGGTAGAGGGTGGTAGTGATGGTGGTCAAGATAACCTCTCCTCCCACTCCCCTCCTCACCATCTTCCATATGCCAACAAGAATCTTCAATAAAGGTAGAAGTGATGTTAAATGTTCATTTATCCATTTCATTAGTTCTTTACATTTATTTCTCATTGTTTTCTTTATGCAGAAGTATAGTTATTCTCTATAAAATGTATTTTTTGTTAATACTTTTGGGTGTCTGGAACAGATTAATTGGATTTACATTATTTCTTAGGGAAAATATTGCTTCAGCTTTCGTTGAATTCGGTTTTCGTCAGATTTTCTGAAACAAATTAATGATGAAAACCAAGGTTCCACTGCACTGAGGAGCATATAAGGTAACAAGCATTGAAGTGAACGTGAGGCTTATCACAATTATATTTCGTGACACCCATGACTACCTCACCAGGGTCAAACGATGGGGCAATGCTGAACTCATAAAGGTCATATGTCTACCAATCAGATTTGATTTAAGGAAATAAGCTGCTTGAAATGCACTGCATGTTAGTGGGTTTCTCTTGTGCCTAACAATACCCCTGAAGGTATACCTGGAGTATACCTGTAGGGGGTTTCAGGGGTGAAGATCCCTGCGGCCAGGTCCGTGACCAGACTCTGTTACGTGCATACTGCAAAAAAAATAATAAGTATATATTTGTAAGGAAAGGGAGAGCAGTTTCATTTCTTTGAATTGAGAGTTCTTTGATGGCATCAAGGCACCTTCCTTGAAGGTCACAGAGGTCATGGAACCCGGAGACCACAAGAATGGCAGAGCACCGCAGCAGGTCTACTGGTCCATGTTAGGCAAGGTCAACCCACACTTAACCTGTCATGTATCTAACTTGTATTTAAAGCTAATAATAATAATATAATAATAATAACAACAGTCTTTATTTCTACATGATACAATGTATACATACCATAGTTGACATCAAAGATATGCTATATAGAAAGCCCTTAATTATGTACAGCATTTCGGGCAAATCAGGTTAATTTTGTCCCCAGGATGCAACCCACATCAGTCAACTAACACCCAGGTACCTATTTTACTGCTAGGTGAACATAGACAGCAGGTATCTTAAGGAAACACATGCTAATGCTTCCACCCGTACCGGGGATCGAACCCCGGACCTCAGTGTGAGAGCTGAGTGCACTACCAACCCAGCTATAGAACTTTTTTGGGTTATCCGACGTAATTTACACTACGATAATTATACTTAATGTACAGCTGTGCCTAAATAAACTTACTATAGGTCTCATAATTATTTATTTTCCTTGGATTAGAGCCTTACACTTGCAGTTTGATCCAAGGAACTGGAGGGTAACCAAATCCTAGGATCAGGAGCCCTTTACCACTATCAGGACAATTACTCTATTATTATTATTATTATTATTATTATTATTATTATTATTATTATTATTATAATCAAGGAGAAGCGCTAAACCCGCAGCATTATACAGCACCTGAGGGGGGGTGGAAGGTATTCAGGCTTAATTCATGGAACTGGAACACAGATCCAGTTCCCTAGATCAAGAGCCCCTCACCAGCATCAAGGAACCTCCCTGGAGGAGACACACTCAACAACGTACATTAAAAACAATACCTACACCCTGGATGTTACCCGCCATCATCAGTACACTTGCTACCTTCCTCATCTTCAAAATTACTCTGTCTTCTTCCTCCTCTTGGGGTTTTTGCAGCCACCTGATAATTTAGGAATTTTGGAGAACTGTCTTCCGGTGTCCAGGGAAAAAATCTCCACCAAATTTGTTATTGTTGTTGGGTTTATAAGGGCCACTGAGGGCACAAGTCTCGAGTCCGGCTTCTCGTTGGTACCAACAATATTTGTTGTCCAAGGCTGGACGGTGACCAGACCTACCTGGAGTTTATTACCTTTGTAAATTGTGACTTCATTACCTTTGTAAATTGTGACTTCATTACCTTTGTAAATTGTGACTTCATTACCTTTGTAACTTGCTCAGCTATCAAACCTTTGAGGTCCAGTCCCTGGACCCATTATGTACCTCTGTAATCTTTTGACTACCGCCACAGGATGGGTATGGTGTGCATAATAAAGATATTAAACTAAAAAAAAGGCTGGACGGTGAGAGAAAAGGAACAAAAGTTCCCTTGTAAACGGAGACAGAAACTTGAAGTTTTCAATTAGATCTGGTGGATGCCCTTGTCAAGCAGAGATGGACGCCTACACCTCTACCTGAGTACAGAAACCGGCTTCCCACCAAAGACCGTTAAAGAATTATGCGCAGAGCGGAAAAAATGGAGCTGGCTAAAGTAAGCTGATGAACAGGTGCCATTCCTGTAGAGTGCCCGGCGGGTAAAATAGATGAGGATATGCGTCCCAGAGAGAAAGGGGAAAATTTGTCACTGATACTCAGGCGAGAGACGTCTACACCCGACGAAGGCTGACGCAGAAGTCCCGTCAGACTTATTCTCCCAGACTTTCTTCTTTGTTGTGTTTATAAAGGGTCACCTGACAACTTACTGTCCTGATTCTTGCTGCTTAATGTTAGTACGTAACTTTATTTAGGTACAGGAACACTTAAGTAGAATTATCATACATAATAATAATATAATAATAATCTTTATTTCTATAAGTACATGTACATGTTATACAGACCATAGCTGACATCAGTGATATACTGCTATGTAGAAAGTCCCTTGTTATGCTGAGTATTTCTCGGAAATTACGTCAATTTTTTTTCCCCAGGATGCGACCCACACCAGTCCACTAACACCCAGGTATCTATTTTACTGTTAGGTGAACATGGACAGCAGGTGTCTTAAGGAAACACGTCCTAATGTTTCAACCCGTACCGGGGATCGAACCACGGACCTCAATGGGTGTTAGCTGAATGCGCTACCAATCGTGTTATGCTCTACTGTTTTAATATTCTGCCTTCATTATTTTAGCATTTGGCACTGGTCTGCCTGGTGCCAATCTACCTTATTCTAGCTAGGTAGACGGACTTTCTACTCATTTCTCCAACATTAAAAGCTCCTGATGATGTGTTGATTGCAACACGAAAGGCCTAGAGCTATAATTCTATTTCCTTTGTGGTTGTTTTACATATAATGATAAATGATAAATAATAAACTTTATTTCTACAAAGTATAATTTACAATTGGTCCAGTAAAAAGGTGACATTATTGATATAGTTTATATTAAACCCCGGGTTAAGCACATCATCTCGGACATCTTTAAAATAAATGTAAAACTACTACTGAAATTCATTACCCAGATAAGAAAACTAAGTTTTCTTTAGAAAGAGAAACGGGAACAATCAGTTCTCGGTTAGTTAATTATGCTGCCTAAGCAACAAGTGATTCCCAGTTAGGTCAGGAGGAACCAGACATCCACACTCATCTGAGTCAACAAAAACAGGCTTTCCATTAGCATAGAAGCTGGTGTGCTACGCCCTGATCAATTACTCAGCAGTGGGGGGTGAATAATAATGACAAACATCCCAGGAAAAGAAAACGCTGAAAATTCGACAGTGATGCTGGCGGCAGGGGGAAGAGAGAAAAAATTCCGCATTCCACCTTTAGCAGTCAGCACTGAACAATTTCTTTCTTGTGTTATGGGGTTTATAGGGCAACAACACCTGACGTCGTAACGAACCTTGCACGACGTACGTCTTTATTCCCAGGCCCATCAAGGTGGTTCCTTGATGCTGGTGAGGGGCTCTTGATCTACGGAACTGGATCTGTGTTCCACTTCCCTGAATTAAGCCCGGATCCCTTCAATATCCCACCACAGATGCTGTATAATTTGTTCCCAGGCCATTTACTTAGGCAAGTGCAGCCTTGATGCGTAGAGGGTAATCAGGTTTTATCCCTTGGATAAAACCTGATTACCCTCTACTCTTCAGGCCCTGTATGATCCATATGGGTTTGGCGCTTCCTCGTGGATACAATAATTTACATAATTTATGCCAATAACGGCTTATAACTGAAAAAAAGTGCTTTACCCGAATTTGGTCACACAGGAACCAACACTGGAGCCGTCATCATTGTCTGCTAAGAGCTGCCTTATCTTCGGCTAATTTACAGGGCAAGATACATTATCCTACCTCACCGTAGACATTAATGTCTGTATCTCTGGCCAACATGAGGCCTGGTCACAGACCGGGCCGAGGGGGCGTTGACCCCCAAAAACCCCTCCAGGTATATAGCCGAGACCTTTGCATCTGTGGCAGCTCTGCTATCATGACCTGGAGGATTACTGGCTATTCTGGATAGATTTGCCACCATTTTGTGATTCCTGGATGATGTATACTTCTCAGGAGACGTTAATTTTGGCAGTGAGAATGTGTATATCATGTGTATGTATATATTACAAACACACGATAAAGCTCCTGGAACAGGGAGTCGGTCTAGTAGCGACGATCAGTGAAGAGGCGTAGATCGACACCATGCCCAGCCCTTCTAGGGTAGGGTAGGTGCCTGAGTCCGAGCCTTTAGTTCATAAGACTGTCATTCCCATTAGCCCCCTTGGGGCGGGGATGGCAGACCAGAGAGGCCTAGCTTGTGGCTAGGCCTGGGGACAGTTGGTCCCAAAGATGAGGAGGTACTTGTGCCTCCTCCCATGGGAGACTTAGGTCTCAGACACTCCCTAAAGAGGGAGCCAAGGCCGGGCCACCACTTGGAAAAGGCCCGGGCCGGGGGAATACCGGCGAATCTTTAACTAAGTGAAGAGGCGGGACCAGGAGCTGTGAAGCGACCCCTGCAACCACAATTAAGTGAGCACACACACACTAAACTATCTTAAATACAAGGAAAAGTGAAAAAAAAATTCCAGTGATATTTTTATTCATGCAAAACCGTAATTAAAACATTCACAAAACACTGAGGTAGATTGTGTGTCACAACACTAATTTAGAGAATGTGGTTTGAAAATTATCATTTTTCCTCTATTTACTTATGTACAGGGCATGGGAAGACCTCTGGATGCTTCAGAAGGGTGATATCATGTACGGGTATTACCCCCTACGGGTTTAACGCGCCCCTGCAATTATATGTAATGTCTTATTCTCTGACTGCTATTACCGTTATTACGTTCATGGAGAAGCGCTAATCCCGTAGGGGATTATACAGCGCATGGGGAATGGGATTATCATGGGGAGCGCTAAAGACGTATGGTGTGGAAAATACTGCAAATATTTTCCAGAAATTCAGTATTTATATGTAAATAGATGGCCATACTGTATTTAATAATATTTATGTCATAGAAAACGGAAAGCCTGCGTCTGCGCAGACGAGACTCGCCATCTTGGTTTTGAATTTTGTACAAACGTTGGTGTAATGGGAAGAATTTTTCGTGCTCTAGAGGTTAAAATTGTGTTGACACCTCTCAAATAGGAGGCGAAATTGGTGGATGTGCATTCCTGCATAACTTGAGATATCAGACGACTGGACAAGACAGCTCCAGGAACCTCAGATAAGCTCTAGATTTGTGTGTAATTCTGGCCAGCATTATTTTCATAGATTTAGTTAGAGTGAAGTTTTCTGAGTATGATACACATTAATCTCCAGTCAAATTTGTGAGTGATATTAAGATATATTTTCCTTCTGTTATATAATTGTGTATATATATAACCATTTATTATTTTTAATATACAGTCCACAAATTTATATATATTTACCAGTATTCCTGGTGTATGTATATTTCATTTAATTAATAGGTCCAGAGCAACTTGTTTACCTGGAGTTTACCTGAACTCTCTCCAGGTAAACTCCAGGTAAACAAGTTGCTCTGGACCTATTAATTAAATGAAATATACGTACACCAGGAATACTGGTAAATATATATAAATTTGTGGACTGTATATTAAAAATAATAAATGGTTATATATATACACAATTACATAACAGAAGGAAAATATATCTTAATATCACTCACCAATTTGACTGGAGATTAATGTGTATCATACTCAGAAAACCTCACTCTAACTAAATCTATGAAAATAATGCTGGCCAGAATTACACACAAATCTAGAGCTTATCTGAGGTTCCTGGAGCTGTCTTGTCCAGTCGTCTGATATCTTAAGTTATGCAGGAATGCACATCCACCAATTTCGCCTCCTATTTGAGAGGTGTCAACACAATTTTAACCTCTAGAGCACGAAAAATTCTTCCCATTACACCAACGTTTGTACAAAATTCAAAACCAAGATGGCGAGTCTCGTCTGCGCAGACGCAGGCTTTCCGTTTTCTATGACATAAATATTATTAAATACAGTATGGCCATCTATTTACATATAAATACTGAATTTCTGGAAAATATATACGGTATTTTCCACATATGGATTATACAGCGCCTGTGGGGGAGAGTCAGGCTTAATTCAGGGTAGTGGAGCACAGATCCAGTGGGGAAGGCGGGGGGAAGTAATGAGGTTTGATCCGAGATAGGGGAAGAGCACTTCCGACTACTTGGATCAAGAGCCCGTCACCAGCATCAAGGTTCCCTCCCCCCCATGTTGATATGCGGGGTGAGTACTTTAACGTCTGTCAAGACTCACTCAGAATTAAACAGTCTCCACTAGGCTTCAGGTCTCACCTTACATTTATATCCATTAAAAATACAATGATACTTTGAACACAAACTACCTTTACATGGCGACGTTTTGCCCACCATGGTGGCTCCAAACGCCTTTTTTCTTTTGCATTCAATAACTTTGAATTACCACTTGTCTCGGTACGACACTCTGAATACAGGTTTGTTTCTCTTGCTATCAGAGGACGAAGGATCGAGCCTTCACCACTCACCCACACGGGTTTAGCGCTCCCCATTAATAACAATATTTGAGAATCTAAACGTGTGAAAGAGAAAGGACTAAGCTTCAGTAACTACCCGAGTTATCTAAGACTACATACTACGATACATCAGCTACAACATCTCGCTCAAGACTTACACAAACGTTGGTGTATCATAGCGTTTTATATATATATGTGAGTGAAAAGGTCAACCTTATACTGTTTGAGGGAAAAAATAGCAGTGTTGGTTGGGGTATCAGAGGCGGAACTTGTGTCAGCATGGAAACAATGTGTTTCCTGACACTGGTGGTGGTGTGTTTGTCAGGACCCAGGACAAGTGTTTCCTGACACTGGTGGTGTGTTTGTCAGGACCCAGGACAAGTGTTTCCTGACACTGGTGGTGTGTTTGTCAGGACCCAGGACAAGTGTTTCCTGACACTGGTGGTGTGTTTGTCAGGACCCAGGACAAGTGTTTCCTGACACTGGTGGTGTGTTTGTCAGGACCCAGGACAAGTGTTTCCTGACACTGTGGTGGTTGTCAGGACAGGACAGTGTTTCTGACACTGGTGGTGTGTTTGTCAGGACCCAGGACAAGTGTTTCCTGACACTGGTGGTGTGTTTGTCAGGACCCAGGACAAGTGTTTCCTGACACTGGTGGTGTGTTTGTCAGGACCCAGGA